AGCAGGTTGACCACAGTCTTGCTCTCACAGGATGTGTCCTTGAGCTTAACTGGAACAACCTGCAGCAAGCAGAGAGCAATTATTAACAGCCATAAGCTTCAATCAGACAACAAACTCACTGATACTAGTGATGTGCGGGCCAGGCCTCAAAGCCTCCAAGCCCGCCAAGCCCGGCCCAAAAAGCCTGGCCCGAGTCAAGCCCGGCAGCAGGCTCAAGGCCGGGCTCGGAGCGTAGTCAAGCCCAAGCCCGGCCTGGAAGCCCAGGCTTGGGTGTGCTGGCTCCGTTACCGTTCCCTAAGTTCAGAATGAGGAGAGAGCGACCTAATATGCACATAGAAGACAAAATGCAGATATTCTAGATGTAACAGCTCCCACCGAGCACGATTGTGCGTCACCATCTGGTGCCTGCCGTAGGCGCACGCTCGTGGACTTCGCTGCGACTCGACTTGTTCCGCAGATGTAGATCTTCTGGAGGTTATAATTTAGTGAGTACATGCAGTATTAATCTACTACACCCAAATACATTCCCTTTTGATAGCACCAGAACACTCGTTGTATTGTGAGCAAGCCCGAGCTTAAGCCCAAGGCTTGGGCCGGGCTTAGGCTCGGCTCGGGCTCAGGGCTCGGCTCGACGTTGCCACAAGCCCAAGCCCGGGCTTTGAGCCCAAGCCGGGCCCGCACATCACTAACTGATACTGTAGCTGTGAACATGAAGCCCAGGAAGTGACGAAATCTGCCTGTCTAGCCATCCAGTTGGAAAGTTCTGTAGCCTAATGAGTTCTTCTCCAGATTTGCTTGTGTTGTTGTGCGCACTTTCTCAAGCTTTTATGGAATGAGAGTCTCGGTGAGCTTTTTTCGAGAGAACAGCTTTGCACCTGGCATAAACTCATTCACGAGTGTGATCCACTCAGAGCTCTCAACCCAGCGATGCGGAAAATTTGCCGCCACTGTCAAATGTGTGATAAGTGTTTCCCAGTGCTTCTGGCGGCTGTCAGACCAGGTAGCAGTCTCAGGCTGGGCACACAGCTGCAGCGTGGATGAAGAGCATCTGCCAAGGTGTCTCATGGCCGGAGGAGGGGGGCAGGTCAGAGGAAAATTGGGAATCTGCCCTGAAAAGGATGACGTGACCGTAGGGCTCAGAGAAGGCAAGTGGGCAGCTGGAGCAGTGGATGGTGGAAGCTGCTGAACACCAAGGGTAATGGAGGATATGGCACGGCTTCCTAGTATTAAACACAACTTTCAATCATGTAGGATGCTTTGTGAAAGCAATACATACCTGCTGAGATGTCTGCCGGGACAATTGGAGCATACAGACCGCTTTGGAATGTGGTGGGCAGTGAGAATGACCTTTGAAGTTGACCAGATGCTGTCGGAATTGCATCAGAGAGATAATTCCGCAGGATGGCAGCCGGATCGTGTGCGTTCAACAGATCCGGGATGTTGACATCCCCTCCATCAGAATCAGAGTCATTGTTGTTTGCTCCCTTCTGATTCGCCTTCTCTGATCTTGCAGAGGCCCTCACCTCTGCTAGGACCTGCTTGCAGTTGCTCAGATGATTGATCATTGTTGGCTTTGAGGTGGTGAGCCATATGCACTCTTCATTTATAGATGGTCTCCAAACTAACATAGTCAGCAACAGTATCTGCTAATGCTTTTTGCAGTACTCATGCTGTTCCTCGAAAGCTTTCTCATCCAGAAGGGGATTAGCATCCTTTGCTTTTGTTAGCTCATGAATAAAGCAGCTGCAACAAATAGCCTTGAATTTTCCCGAGCTAGTTGTGTCAGGATTTGCGTATGCCAGGCATGCTTGCCTTTAAGCGGATGGTCAATAAAATGCCTCCTCCACCAGCCAGTTCTTCCTGGTTTCTGCCCAGACATGGCACACTCAGTGCAAAGGAGATGAAGAGGGTAAAAAAAAGTTGCATTTGTTTTGACTATAAGACAGAGTCCATGCGCAGACCTCAAGGGTTTGGCGAGGACGCAGCAAGCCACTCGGTCAGTAAACGCCCAGTGCTTCTTAGGAGGTCACGTGGATGGACCCGGAGAACCGCTTAGTTAGAGTTAGCGGGTGACTAATTAACTAGTCAATGACTAGTCACGATAGTTAACCTTTAACCGGTTACTCGGTTCGTTAACCAACCAACACTGGTGCGCCCGCCGCCATTAAGGCCGTCATTGTTGGCCGGCGTCTGCTTACATAACGGGTGCCCGTTCCTGGCGACCTCTACCTTACCACGAAACGACGCACAAATGCAAAGGCTCTCATCATATACATTGTCAATGCTGTTTATTCTATTGCAGTTGCTACCCTTATAGACGCAACATTGCATTTGAAGACGCGCAGAACGGCTAAGGACCGACCCCAGCAGGCCGACAAGCGGCATCGCCACATTCGATCTGTCATGGCAGGGGGGAACACCGCGCGACAAGCAGGCGGCTGGATCTTTCTCGATTTCTAGTGCGTGAATGACTGTCAGGGAGCAGAATCTATGCTGAGCATATGCCATGTACAGCGGTGGCGAAGACTTGGTTGGAGACGGTCGCGGGTCGAGTATTGTCGGGTTTCCCATACCAGGTACGCTGCAAACTATACTGCGTGTCCAGCTATCTCTCATAGTATGCCTTTGTTTATGGCGCAGGGAGGATAATCGTTCGCGTACTCGAGCTGCAGAATCCACAAGATCGTACGCTGTTTGATACCGATGGCACACGAGCGTGCTACCTACGCAAGCTGCGAGTCTGCACACCTTTGCTTGGACACCCCTGCGATCGAGGATGAAGATCGTCGCCGATGACCTCGGCATCAGCATGCCGTGCGGCCATGTGCTCCAGCAATAAGCTTCATCATTCCAATCACACCTGCACTGTGAAGTTCCTTACCACCTGCACGATTACCGACTTCTCACTGCGATGACGCCTAGATCTGGCGCTCCAGAATGCATATAAAGCTCATATGATTAACGCTTGGCACCGTGGTCTCGTCATATCCCCTTCCGCCTGGACGACATCTCGGCAGCCATGGCAACGTCCCTCGCCGGTCTCGCCTTCTCAGCACTTACAGTCTTGGCTTGCGCTCAGCAAGCACGGCCGAGCATCATCACCACTGTCCCGCCGAACACTACACATTTCGACTTTGTGGTCATTGGCGGCGGTACCGCTGGGCTCGCACTCTCCGCGCGACTCTCCTCCCATCCGAACACCAGCGTCCTGACCATCGAAGCCGGGCTAGACAATCGCACCGACCTCGCGACAGAAAGCTTGCTCGAATACGGTGCCGTACTCGGCGGACCGCTTGATTGGAGCTGGTCTACGGTTGAAGGACGAACTATTGACGGGTACGATTTTTTCCTAGTGCATCATCCATGGCCGCTGCTCACCTACACGCACTGTCTAGGGGGAAGACACTAGGTGGCTCCAGCTCTATTAACGGCGCTGCATGGACGCGCGGGCAAGACGCGCAATACGACTCGTGGAATGAGCTATTGACACCCGGGGAGAGAGCAGTTGGTTGGGGATGGTCCGGCGAGCGAGGTCTTTTGAGCTACATGAAGAAGGTTGGCTGCGTTCTACCTCTATTTGAACACAATTGTGACTTACGCGTGTCGTCCAGAGCGAGACATTTCACCCACCGGATGCACTGCAACGTGCTCAACTCAACGCGTCCTACGAGCCTCCCTTCCACGGGTTCTCTGGGCCCGTTCAAGGCTCTTTCACCAATGCCGATCTCATGCCAAGCAATGCATCCGGCGCTGGGATCAAGCAGAGCGCTTTCATCGCAACTTGCAAGAGTGCAGTAGGCTTTGAGCTTGCACAGGGCGCGGACGTGAATGATGGAAGGCCGACCGGAGTGTTTGTCACCCCGCTGGTGAGCATCCCCAGACAATGCACTCTGAACGGGTTCTGAGTGTGCGCGAAGTAGAGCATAGACCCTGCCAGAGATGATCACAGATCGTCGTCTGCAGAAGCGTACCTCACACCTGTCGAGAATTCCCGTAACAACTGGGTCGTACTTGTAGGGCATACGGTACGCTCCACTTCACGGTTGGCTGAGTGTTTCTCACTCAACAATATCGACGTTCACAGGCTACGCGGATCCTATTTACGCAGTCTAACAGCAGTGGCCTTCAACATGCATACGCCGTGCAGTTTGCTCCGACACCTTCGAATTCTTCAGTCAACAGCTCGCAGCCGGAAGTCACCGTGTATGCCAATTACGAGATTATCCTATCAGCAGGTGCGATCCAATCGCCGGCATTGCTCCAATTGTCCGGCATCGGTCCCCGGAGTCTGCTTGACGACCTCGACATTGACGTCGTCGTGGCGCTCGAGGGCGTGGGGCGGAATCTACAGGATCAGGTGCGTCAAATGTTACTGCTGGCTACTATACTGTGGAGTGGTTCTGATGCACTACCCTTCGCAGGCAGCAACGCCTCTTGCTGCGGGCTCGACTGGCAACGATACAGGAGGCACCCGCGTCCTAGACGCCATCGGCTTCCCTAACGTCAGCTCGCTTTTCGCCTTCGGCGCCCTCAATGGCTCCTGCAACGTTTCTGATGTCATCGATGATGGTATCTCTCAATGGGCTGCTAGTCAAGCTGCTGCAGGGGGCGGCATCAGTGCAGAGGCTTTGGAAGAGATTATGCGGATCCAAGCCAGCAATATTCTCAACGATAATGGTAAGAGAATCTGTATTCCCGCAAACAACATCATTGAACGACATTCTCTAGCGGCAATACTCGAAATGTTCTTCTACGAGCCTGCATCCGACAGCCTGGGCATGAATGTCTGGGGTCTCCTTCCCTTCAGCCGCGGGAATCTCTCCATCGTAGTATGCTTTTCTTCATCATTCATCTCCTACGCGATGCTCACGCGTGATAGAGTAAAGACCCATTTGCACGCCCCACCATCCGTGCCGCGTACCTCGCCGTCGACTTTGACCTCCACGTCGCGATCGCCGGTGCACGTGCGGTACGCAAGCTCCTGCGCAGCCCGCCGCTGAGCGGGATCGTCACGGCCGAGACTGTGCCCGGCACCTCCGTGGTGCCCGACCCGACCGGCGACGGCGGCGCAGACGCAGACTGGGCGGGGTGGGTGCGCGGGGCGTACATCTCGAACGACCACCCAATTGGGACTGCTGCGATGATGCGGCGTGAACTTGGTGGTGCGTTTCTCCGTATCGTTAGGCGTACCATGGCACTGACGTTTGTCCGTGGCGTAGGTGTGGTCGACGCACATTTGAAAGTATACGGGACCGAGAACGTCCGCGTCGTCGACGCGTCGGTCATGCCGCTCCAGATCAGCGCGCACTTAAGTGCGACGGTGTATGGCATCGCAGAGAAGGCGGCAGACTTGATTCTAGGAGATTTTAGCGCTGTAGCGCTTGGGTATACAACAGCCTGATGCCGTTGCTATAGTTTTTGCAACCAAATATCACTTCGTGTGCTCCCGACGCGCGACAGAGGCGGGCCCAAGCTCATTGACATGCTGACTTTGTAAAGGCCGGTCCTGTCCAACTTTACAGTCGTTTGCATACAACTGCAGTCTGTGATTTTGTTCCATGCTCCTTTCAAATTTACCTTATCTGGTCCTGTAATAGTCACAGAAAGTCACGAAAGGATCACAAACCCGACAACGCCATTGCACTGGCCTCCGTGTGGCTAGGCTTGCTCTGCGATAGCTTACTGCGAACTATCAACAGCCACGCGTGCTTCCCTGGTGTCCGTAGGCGGAATCCTGTTCACCGTCTGAGTTCATAGATACTCGATACTCGTTGGCCATGACTGCATGACTTCCGACCGTCGAGACAAAATTCGAGGTATCACACCGGATGCCGCCTAACCCATTTTTGGGGTTCTTCGTTATAAACCACAAAAAACTATTATCCGTAAATATCAACATGCTTCGTGTGCCTATAAGCTCTCATGGCTCCCTGATGCTCGGGGCTCTCTTGATATCGCTCGCAAGCCTTCGTCAGCGCGCCTTTGAGGCGCGGCGGTGCTTACATAATCCCGCACGTCAGCAGTGTCAGTAGGATAGGAGGGTAAGCTCAACCCCGTCGTCCTCAGGTTCCTTGCAACCATCACCATCTGATTTATCGATGCTCACTGACCATGACTTCTGACTGTCAAGACGAAATTCTGGCAATGACACTGGGCGCTGCCAAACCTATTTCCGATGTTGTTGAAGCCGGACTCGATCTCGTCCCTGTGCGTGGGTTGGGCCTCATACCGAAAGCGTTATTAGCTATCATAGACAATGTCGAGGCGAGTGGATTTTAGTTCCTCAATGGACGAAATCTCTCCTAAATATTCCATATTTCCGCAGGCCGTCCGAAGGAACAAAGAGTTGCGACGAACTTTTGTCAAGGAGGCAAAGGCGGTGGAATCTGTCATCAAAGAGACATTCCAGGGCGCGAATACTTCTGTAGCCCGCTACAGCAGAGATGAGGATATGATGGAGAAAGCTATGAATGAGATTGTGCGCGCTCTGAAGACCTTACTAGCGGGCTACAGGTTTTGTCAAGGTACGGCAGGACACCTATGACATCAGTCAACGAGAGACTGATGCCAATTAAGTTCTATTAAAGAACTTGAGATGCATGTTGGAGAGCTGAAGGGCGGAGGATTCCTCAAGGGTATCATTTATGGGTTATGGAATGAGGCCGTCTTAGAGGACATGAAGTTCGAGCTAGCGTACGCCGTCGAAGAATTCCAGGTGCGTAGTGATACCCGCCGTACTCTCATCATCCGTCGTTTTAATTGCATGTAGCTCAAATCTCAAGCTGCGATTAACAAAGGCGTCCAGATGATTCAACATCTCTCGAAGGAAGCGGGTAAGCGGTTCACTGTACCGTATCCGTATTCCAAACTTGATTTACGTGGCTATTGAAGACGAACAAAGAGCTATCTGCGGCATAGCCTGGGCTGATGCAGGATATCTCACCATCGATGAGCGCAAGAAGGGCTTCTTGAAAGGCACTCGAGGATCTCTTCGACGAGCTTGACGTTTGGTCGGCTGGCCGCTTCCCTGAGTCAAGTCCGAAACATTTCTATCTTCTTACTGCCAACTCCGGTGCGGGGAAGAGTGCAATTGCTCACCAGCTCTGCATGCGTGTCGCTGATCCCAAATTGCCGTTCTCCGGTGCTACCCTCGGTGCGTCGTTCTTCTTCGTTCGTGGTGACGAACACAAGGGATCGGCTCGACTACTGTTCCCCACCCTTGCACGCCAATTCGCCTCACTCCCCTCTCTTCGTTCTCACATCGCCGACGGTGCCCAAGAATACATCAAGCAAGGCGGTCGCCAGCAGGCCAAGTATATCTTCGAGCAGCTCCTTCACCAGCCTCTCACCAAGGCTTCCATATCCCCCCCGGCATGGGTCTTGCTTGTCCTGGATGCGCTGGATGAGTGTGCATAACATGAAGAGTTGTCTAATTCATTTGAACTCCTCGTCGACTTGGTTCGCACAGTGCCCTGGCTATATATCTTCGCCGCGTCACGACCAGAACCTTATATTAAGACAATACTCACCTCTCCGAAGGTCGCCGATGTTGCACACGTATTGGATTTCAACAGCACGCTTAAGCCTTGGGCTAGCGATGTCGTACTCTACATAGTGGATGCGATGGTCGACATGCCGTCGTACCGAGATAATTTGCGCAAGGACTCTGACATTCTGATAGACCTCGTTGAGCGCGCCGGAGGACTGTTTGTTTCTGCCCGTACTATTGTGGACGTCTTGCAGAGCCACCCAGATGATCCGAAGGGGGCGTTCGCCATTGTACTTTCATCGACAGGAGCAGAGAGGAGCACTACTATCACGTGTAGGTGAGGGCCGGCTGGTGCCCGCTGGTTTACATTAATATTGTAATTAGGGGTGAAGTAATAGTACAGTAATCAGGACAAGAGACGGCTTCGCTCCGCTACGCGATAAATATTCTCCAGGTAGTCGTTCTCGTGGCGGCTGTTCTCGAGGTTGGCGTCTTGTGCGGCCATGATTGGCATATGCTCACTCAGGTAGCATCCTCGTGACTCTCCGGAAAATATAAATGTACATGTGTGTTTGTTTATGGAGGTGAGCAACCTTCTGGTTCTTGCCACCTGCGGCGGCTCGGGCGCAGGCGACTAGTACAGTGAAACTGGAGCACTAACGTGGGTGGGGTAAGCGCAAGGAAGTAACAGGATCGATCGGGGGCATGCAGCGCTGGGTATATAAAGGGCAGAGGGCATGTAAGGGGTTAAAAAATAGTAAGGAACCATTTGCCCACTTTCAGGCCATCTGGTTAAAGATAAAGTAATCACACAGTTTCACCATACAGGTATTATCAAAGCATTAGAGAGTATATTGAATCTGTTCTACAGTGGGATTGTACTAGCTATGATACATGGCCATTATGGCATAACAACCTAAGTTACGCGAGCCCGGCGTGCCCGCCACTTATTTATTATGCTCCTGCCACTCATAAGCCTGTCCTCGCCGCTGCCACTCGCTACTCAATGACGCGTCGCCGCGCCATCCGCTATTGTTTATGCTTGTTGCTCGACAACGCATTGCTACACCCTCTACCACCGTTCATCCTCCAGCTCCGCCCGCAGGAGGACAAGCCATCGTTCTTGTCGTTCGTGCACTACAGGGCAAGCCATTCCGCGCGACGCACGAGCAGCAGTGCCTGACGATCTGGCATTTCCGCCGCCGTCTCCGCTGTGCTCCGAGTCTTATTCGCTCCTTACACACGACCATCCACCTGGCACCGTCACTTTCCCTCTGCCCCTGCACCGGTGCTGCTGTCTCCTGCACTCCTACCGGTCTGTCATGTTCGATATCATCGACTCCCCTTGCCTAGGCGCATCACAAACAGCATGATCATCTTGTCATCCGGATTATTCGTATTATACCTGTATGGTGAAACTGTGTGATTACTGCTCAATTTCGCCATACAGGGTACATTGCTCAGGTTGAGTGAATTACCGGTATGCCACAGAGCTGCTACGTGAGTACCCCGGCAGTAAGAGTGCGTCCGGTGCTTGCCCCTGGGGCAAGGACGCGTCGGGTTCTTGCTAGGTAAGGGGGCCCGGGGACCATGCGCCGAGTGCTTCGACCTCTACAATAGCTTCGTGGCACTATATGACAAAGCCATTCTTCCCTGATGTTGAAGTTGGCGGCGTATGAGTAACATATCATTAGCAAAGCAATGATCTACAGGGTAAGACTCTCAATCTTGCATTATGATTCGCTTTTGATTCTGTCCACCCTCGCATCTAAGCTTGCCCTCAGCGCGGGACATCTGGGACGGTCGCCTACACAAGAATGCAGCGTCCTATCACTACGCCGACCTCTGGTCTGGATACAGTCGTTAAGCTGATAACGCATAGGGCACGTAACGTCCGGCTTCGCTCTGCTGGCTCCTCTCTCTTTCTCAAGTACATTTGGCAGCACATCGTATCCACTCATGTTGTTTATGGGCACCACACTGCTGTCAAGTTCCGAAGAGGCTTACCGAAGAGAGACATTTCTTACAGATTTTTCATTTTTATGTATCATGAGCTTAACGACTGTATGCAGATATAGATTTTGCTGCGGAAAGGCATCAGTTGTTGTTGAGCTTGCTACGCGAACATGGCTTGAACACCATGTTCCATCTTTCTTCGGCGTTGCCTCGATCACCCAGGAGCAGGCATTACGGGGGCGCTAGGTGTCGATCTACATATGGTTTGGAGCTGCCGCTGTCATACTCGTCAGTATTAACGACCATGAAGCTGGAGCACTTCAGACACGAAGCTAACTCAACCCCGTCGTCCTTCCTCACACTCCTTCACCGCCCCCGCCACCTCCCCCTGTCCCTGCCACCTCCCCCCGCTCCCCGCTCCATCCCCACGTTCATTAATTATCACTGGCTATGACTAGGACCAGGCCCGGTCGTCGAGATGAAATCTCGGACATTGCACTGGGTGCTGCCAAGCCTATTCTCGATGTTCTTGAGACTGCTCTCGATCTCGCCCCCGTACCTGGGCTGGGCCTCATACCGAAAGCGTTATCGACTATCATAGACATCGTCGAGGTGAGTGGGTTTGAACGATATCTCTCATGAGTGCCTCATACCTTTGCAAATTGCAGGCCGCCCGAGCGAACAAAGAGTCACGAGAGGCTTTTATCGCAAAGGCAAAGGCGTTAGGATCTGCCATCAAGGAGACGCTTGAGAGTGCGAATATTTTGATAGCCCGCTATGGCGGAGACGAAGATAAGACAATGGAAGCAATGGATAAGATCGCGTACTCTGAAGAGCTCACGAGTGGGGCTCAGGATTTGTTAAGGTACGGTGGAACGTCTATGATAGTAGTTAACAAGAGACTAATGGCAATCAAGAAAACTCGGAGACCTCGTGAAAGCTGCTCGCAAACTGAAGGTCGACGCCGGTCGAGTCCGCGGATTCCTCAGGGGCATCACGGATGCGTCACGGAACAAGACTGCCCTGAAGCGCATGGAGAATAGTCTAGGGATCGCCGTCAATGAATTCCATGTATGCAATGACACCAGTCGTACTCTTATTATCTTTCATTCTAATTTCTTGCAGCACAAATCTCAACTTGCGATTGACAAAGGCATACAGGAGATCCAACATCTCTTGAAGGAAGCGAGTAAGCAGGCCACAGCACTGTATCCATATTCCAAACTTGACTTACGTGACTGTTGAAGGCGAACAGAGGGTTATCGACAGCCTGGTCCGGGCAGATGCAGGATATCACTCCGTCGACGAGCGCAAGAGCGGCTTCAAGGAAGGCACTCGGAAAGATCTCTTCGACGAGCTTGACCTTTGGTCCACTGGCCGCTTCCCTGAGTCGAGTCCCAAGCGCTTTTACTTTCTCGCCGGCAGTGCCGGTGTGGGGAAGACTGCTATTGCCCACCAGCTCTGCAAGCGTCTTGCCGACTTCGAGTCGTCGCCGCCCAGTGTTTCTCTCCTTGGCGCGTCGTTCTTCTTCGTTCGCGGTGACAAAAACAAAGGATCGGCTCGCCTACTATTCCCCACCCTTGCCCGCCAACTTGCCTCATTCCAACCCTCTCTTCGTGCTCACATTGTCAATGCTTCCCGAGAGTACATTAAGCAGGGCGACCGCCAGCAGATCGAGTACGCCTTCAACATGCTCCTCTATCGGCCTCTCGTCAAGGCTTCCACATCCCACCAGGCTCCGGTCTTCCTTGTCCTTGATGCACTTGATGAGTGCATAGAGGAGGAAGAATTGTCCACCTCACTAAGACTCCTTGTTAAGTTGGTCCACAAGGTGCCCTGGTTGTATATCTTCGCCACGTCGCGACCAGTACGTCATATCAAGGCAAGACTCACTAGGACGTCGCCAATATTGTGCACATGCGGAACCTCAACGATACCCTTGAAGACTGGGAGGGCGATGTCGAACGCTATCTGACGGACGCTCTGCTCAAGATGCCCTTGTACGAAGAGAGAGTGCTCAGCAACTCTCACTCTGTGGCAGACCTCGTTAAGCGCGCCGGAGGACTGTTTATCTTTGCTCGTACTGCCCTGGACACCCTGGAGAGGCACCCGAACCAAGAGGAAGCCTTCGCGGCTGTGCTTTCGCCAACAGAATCATCACCCATGGATTCAATGTATCTCGATATATTGCGGTCGGCATACCCCCCTCCATACCTGCAGCAGTTCCCTCGTCTACACGGCTGCTTGCTATCGCTGCTAGCCATCATCGCTCTACAGTTCACCTTACTACCACCCGGCGCCATTACACTTCTCGGAAACGATCTGTTCAAGAAGGACGTCATCCAGAATAGAATATCTGAGAACCATGCCCTGGCCGGGGGGATCGGTCTGTCGAAGGAGGATGGCGACGATATACTATCCCGTCTGTCCTCCGTTCTGTTCGTCACGAGCTCAAATGGTTGCGTGACTCCTTTACACGTTACATTCGGCGAGTTCCTTCTCAACTCTAAGCGCTGCGACTCGCTATATCACGTAGATCGAGGCGAGGGGCACGCAGGTCTTGCATCTGCTTGCATCTCTGCGTTCTCACTCAAGACAGCAATAGACTTCCTAGCCGCCTGCCGCGACAACGAGTTTACCATGAAGTCTTATGGGTTTTATCTAATGCGTTTCTCGTCCCTACACCTTCGCAACGCCGCGGGCAACGAAGAATTAGCGAAGGACTTGCGTACCATGTCTCAAGGCGTCCAAGTACCCATCATGTTAAGGACCACGCGCTTTGTTCCGGACTCCGCGGTCCATGATGAAGATCAAAGCTTGTGGAAAGATATTAAAGTACGCAGAATATTCGCTCTTCCTCCCTTCCTCCATCCACTCTTCGGCGTTCTTGAGTTTGCAATTGCAAAGTCAGGCTTACTTACAAACTGGACAGGACTTTGAGGAACGCCGCGGACGTCATGTTCGAATCGACCAAAGCTCACGCTCGAGTGACGAAAGTTCGAGTATTTCCAGCGAATACATCAAGTTTGCCGCTTACAGCAAGAAATATCTTGATTACATCCTCAGCTATTCAGCTTCACCTGTGCCACAGATCACACAGGAAGATATTCTCAGGTCTATACGAGAGGATCCGGCTTTACCTGGAAAGTCCGATTTTGGTCAAATCGACATAGAAAGATACCGGAGTGTGTTAGAGGGACTAAAGAGAGATATCGACGACGATGCAAGGGCGACGGACTTATGGTATGACCGTTCCCTACCCAGTAAGAACGTCGATGAGCTGTAATCAAGCTAGTATCACGGCGAATGTATGCATACGCATTGCCCTCTAGCACTTCGATTCGTAAATACTTTTTCCAGGTCTTCAACATTGACTGCATCGTCCTTCAACTCGAGCGAACGAGTTCTCACACGGGCATCAGCTACGTGCTATGTCTCATTCGTCCGAATGTGATGCCACTACGAGAAATCAGAGAGATGTAGCAACGCTGGCGGTCACCTTTTCACCATCGGGAGCCTCAAACGCAGTAATACTCAGTTCGCCACTCTCGCCGATCATGAATTGCACCTCTAACTTCGTCTTCGAGCGACCGCCGCCTGCCTTCTGCGCTTTCTTGGCGTCGAGCACAAGCGACGTCAGCAGACTCTCCTTCTCCAGCGTCTTCTCCTTCGTCTCGATCTCCTCCTCTTCCTCGTCCTCCTCGGCGTCTTCGTCGTCACCCTCAAACTTCGGTGGCGCTTCTTTCGTGAACTTTACACCTTCCTTAATCTCCCACACCTCGAAGCCGACCTTCTTGTCGCCATCGCTCTCGCCGAGGTCGACATCAAAGCGCACGGTGCGCCGGCACGGCAGCGCGGTCTCGCGCAGCACCACAGGGATCCATTGCCCACCAAGTGCGGACTCAGCGTTTTCCTCAGGGAAGATGAGTCCGATCGTCTTGGTCGTCGCCTTCGCTTCCTGCCACCGACTGCTAGGCGCGAACGCCGCCTTGACCTCCCGCTCCTCCTCAGAACCTTCGCCGAGCGTCGCGAGCAGCTTCGCCTGGAGCGCTGCACCGCGCGCGAGAATCGTCGTCGGGTCGCCGACGCCGCCACCGACGACTGTGCCTGCCGTGAACGGCGTCACAACGTTCTCATGGAAGCCCGCCGCGAGCGCCTCGTCCAGCCCGGGCAGACTCGCGGAGCCGCCGACGTAGACGATCTCGTCGACATCGTAGAGATCGAGGCCAGCTCCTTCGACGAGCTCCTGAACCTTCTTGTAGACGCCGTCGTAGATCGGACGCATCTCCATGTCGAACCGCAGCCGGTTGATTGCCCCAGTGAAGTCGAGGCCGTCCTTGAGCGACTCGACGGAGCATGTCGCGGCGCCGGTCGACGCGGAGAGCGTGCGCTTGGTATGCTCGACTGCGAGGCGGAGTCTCGCCTCGGCACGCTTGTCCTGGGGTTCGGTGGCAGGGGCGACCGTGAGCGGCGTCTTGGTCTTCTTGGTGAACTCTTTGGCGAAGAACTTGATCAGCCTGTCGTCGATGGCGTCTCCCCCGACGCTGTGGTCGGAGAGCGTGGCGAGCGAGTGTGCGAGGCCCTGGCGGACGGACAGCAGAGACAGCTCGAGACCAGATGCGCCGAGGTCGACGAGGAGCTGGGTGCGGTCTTCAGGAAGGCTGTCGTTCTCGGAGCGAGGTGCCAAGGTGGTGGTGACGACGGCAGCGCCAGCTTCCTCGAGCAACTGCAGAACGGTGACTCCAGCGTCGCTAGCTGCGTCCCCGAGGGCCTTCTTCTGCTCGTCACCAAACCAGGTCGGAACTGTAATGACGGCACCCTGCACTTTACGACCGAGGAAGTCTTCCGCTGATTGAACGAGAGATCTCAAGAAGACGGAAGTAACCTCGCTAACGGTCAGGATGCGAGTGGTGGAAATCGGCTCAGACCTGGGGGTTGCGACGTTCGAGGCTGCCGGGGTAACGGCAGCCGAGGTGACCTTGGACACAGGAAGAGGAGTGGGCGCAGGCTGGAGAATTTGAACCTTGTAGGCAGGAGTGTCAGGGATATCGGGGTGCTGGATAACAAGCGCAGAAGTCGTTGGCTTGTCGACAGCGATCTCGGAGAACCTGTAGCAGTGAGGACGAGACACCCGCCGCAAAATACATCACTTACTTTTTGCCCAGTAAATTTCTGAAGCCAATAATAGTGTTTTGGGAGTTCTTGACGAGTTGGTGCTTGGCCTGATTGCCAATGTACTAGAGCAGGATTGGTCACTCGTGGGCGCATACAGGGAGCTCGCGAACGCACCATCTCCTCGCCCTGGAACGCAATGGCGCAAGCAATCTGACGCTCTCCGTCTTCGTTGGCAATACAGTCCGCATTTCCCTCCTGCGTTGCTGTCAGAATCTGGTCTATTGGATGAACGATACCCTCGTAAAGCGTACCTTGTTTAGCACTGCGATGGACGCGTACGAGTTACCGAAGTTGATACCAACAACAGTGGGGATAGCAGACACCTCAATAGGCGCATCTGCGCTGCCATTCGCCAGGGTAGCAGCCATTTTGAAAGAAGATAAGAGAAAATGCGGAGGAAGCGAGTGAAAAGACGGCGCAAGCACGAGGTCCAAATTTTTGGACGCAATGCGAAACCTTAACCCTAGAAGACGGGCAATGTGATCTTATCACTTCATGAGCGCAAGATTAGATGGACGCCCAATATTGTGCAAACACCGCGACGTTCTCGACGTTTCCTGCCACCTAACATTTCAAATCGTTCTTAGAGGAACTTGCTACCAAACACCTCGCCTTCGAAGTCTACGACCGAGTGATCAGCGCCAGTCAGTCGCCTCACCCGACTCAGCTTTGCCCGCGGGGACTGACCAGGTACTCGCATCCCCAGACATGGCTTGTCCGCATATCGGCGATTTGGCTCGTCTACAACCACCACGTCTCTCCCAATCCGTACATCGGGAGGAGTGCACGCAATGCTTCGACAATCAGGTTCGCCGCTCCAAGGCTGCCATGGGAGGCTCGTTTGATTCTGAGATCGATCTATAGGACCAGCCATTGGGCATCGACGTCTGTCTGAGCTGTTTCAATGGAGGTTGCTTGGATCGTGACCGATCCCATATGCGTCTGCACATCGCGAAGACTGGGCACTCCTTCACTCTGAACGTGAAGCGGAAAATGAAGCCTTCGGCGTACCGGGTGCGTCGTCCTTTAACTAGACTGTGCGTCATATGCCAATACTTTTATTACTCTGTTTAGGCAGATAAAGAAGAACCACCGGCCAAGATGACCAAGCTTGCTATCGTCGCTGAGCGAGACGAAGACAAGTATGAGCACCACACTGTCGTTAAATGCTGGAAGTGCAACCCCGAGACAGGTCTCGAACTATCCGCACTCTCCGAAGACCCCCATGCCAAGACCATTATCGACGGCGTCATGCACTCCTTATCTTCTGCGCGCCAATCCGAGGTCAAGGCTTGGGAAGAAGAGATCACGGCTTGCGAGCACACCCTGATGCTTGAGCAGCATGCGACGGGCCCGATCCTCGCCTCCGGCCTCGCACACTGCTTGAAATGCGATCTCAAGGAGAACTTGTGGTTGTGTCTTACTTGCGGCTCTCTTGGATGTGGCCGGCAGCAATATGGCGGCTTGGGCGGAAACGGACATGGCTTGCAGCACTACGAGGAGACTAAACATCCTATTAGCGTCAAGCTGGGTACGATAACGCCTGAAGGCAATGCCGGTGAGTAACTTCGGCGTGCTGCGAAAGGCGTAGCTGACAGGGTTCAGATATCTATTGCTACCTATGTACTGATGCAAGGCTGGATCCTGAGCTATCTGTCCACTTGGCAGCGTTCGGGATCAATGTGGCAACACAAACAAAGACCGAGAAGTCGATGACTGAGCTGGTTAGCAAATAAATTCCAGTCAAACAGCGCATACATGCTGATATTCAATACCCTCAGCAAATCGAGCAAAACCTTACGTTCGACTTCTCACTGACAGACGAGTCGGGAAATGCGCTAGAGCCTGTCTTCGGGCCCGGACTGACAGGTTTGGCGAACCTGGGGAACAGGTCAGCCTTTGCGTGGCTTACCTCAGGCTTACTTACTTACGGGCCTGCAGCTGCTACATGGCTTCCGTCCTGCAGACCACATTCTCTCTACCATCATTCCGCGATCGCTATTACCCAACCGCCAAGGCGCATTGGCAGAACTGTCACGAGGCGCTCCCCGCCGACTGCCTTGATTGCCAGCTCCACAAGGTCGCCGACGGCCTCCTCTCCGGACGGTACTCGCACCCACGGCCCGCCGAGAGTGCGCCGCCGAAAGAGACAAATCCGCTCGCGCACGAGTCGCCGACGCCAATTTTCCAGGAGGGCGTGCGTCCGAGCATGTTCAAGGCGCTTATCGGTCGGGGCCACGAGGAGTTCGCGACAATGCGCCAGCAGGACTCGGAGGAGTTCTTCACGCACTTTCTCGGCGCGGTCCGCCGTCAGCTCAAGAAGACCGGCGCCGGCGCGGACCCGACGGAGATCTTCAAGTTCGGCACAGAACAGCGCCTGCAGTGTGGCGACTGCCAGAAGGTGCGGTATCGCGTCGACTCGACGGATGTCGTCAGTGTACCTGTGCCCAAGCGGGGGAAGGGTGTGGACGAAGAGATGAAGCCCCAGTACGAGGAAGTGCAGCTCAAGCAGTGTCTGGACATCTTGACCGGTTTCGAGGCTCTCGAGTACACCTGTCCCTCGTGCCAGAAGCAGGTTATTGCCAAAAAGTACGTGAACACCTGCACTTTGGATCCATAGCACTGACATCTTCGTGGTGCGGTTCAGGCAGACCAGATTTGCAACCTTCCCTGAAGTCCTCGTCGTGCATGCCAAGAAGTTTCAGCTCGTGAATTGGGTTCCAACCAAGCTTGGTGCGCAAGATTTATTTCATTCGTTGTTCGTCTACTTATGGTACTCGATCTCTAGATATTCCGGTCATCCTGCCTGCGGATGATATTTTGCAGCTTGATGAGTACCTAGGTCGCGGCCTCCAGCCTGGTGAGACCGAGCTTCCAGACGATAGCGATAGTGAGCCTTAATTGCATCATTAATTGTTGATTGAGTTTTAAGCATCTAATTCTTGTTCCAGCTGGTGCAACGCTGCCCGAATTCGATGCTGAAGCGATGGCTCAGTTGGAAGGCATGGGTTTCCCTACCGTTCGTTGTCAGAAGGCTCTGCTCGCGACGGGCAACAGCGATCCGCAAGCCGCAATGGAATGGCTCTTCCAGCATATGGACGATCCGGGTACGCCTAATGGCCCAGAGTACTTCCTGGTTCTTAACGGCACCTTTAGACATCGACGCGCCAATCCAGGTATCGGGCTCCAAGGGCGGAAATGAGCCTTCGCAGGAGCAGATTGAGATTCTTGCCGCCATGGGCTTTACTCCTGCGCAAGCTAAGAAGGCCCTCCGCGAGACTGTCAGTTACTTTCATTCTCAGGTCCACGATGCGCGTAGCTGAATATAGCTTGCAGGGCGGCGACGCGGAACGTGCGGTGGACTGGCTCTTCTCACATCCGGATGAAACGGGTGAAGACTCAGCACCATCGTCGTCCGAGCAGCCTGGAACGCTCGCGGTAGGCGGCTCATCGGCGCTGCCGGCGCGGTATAAGCTCAAGGCATTCATCTCGCACAAAGGTCCCTCCGTACACTCTGGGCACTACGTCGCGCATATCCGGACAGCGGATCCGAGTGGAAGCGGCGACATGTGGGTGCTGTTCAACGACGAGAAAGTTGTCAAGGCGGACGCAGAGAGCGTTCGGGACCTGAAGCGGTTCGCGTACCTGTACGTGTTCGAGAAGGCATGAGTGACGTCGTCTCTGCCAAGATACAAATCAAATGACCTGGTAGTCTGTACTCGTGTATATTTTACGTCTTGCCTCATGGACGAGTCAATAGCTCCCGGGAGCCGGAGGCTAACATCGCGGCCACGTTCTAATAATGGTAAGCTTACGATTGTACAGATGACATAGCTGGGTTTGAAAGTCTCGTGACCTCGCGTGTTACTTGGTAAGCACCAAAGATAAGCTACTGCCCGGCGTTCAGTTATTCACTTTTGAAACCCCGCAAGACGAATCTGGTTCCCTAGTGCTTTCACACTTTTTTCATCTTGCACCTGGTGCTCGACGACGACACCAACGACCAGCTCTTTTCTGTCCACTGCGAGCCTATCCTCTATTATGTCGTCTTTCATCCCAATCAATATTCACGACCCCACTGCTCCTACCCCCCAAAATACACCCTTGTCGCACGCACCTATCGCACAGGGTCTTTCTCGTCCCACTGTGCCTGACATTACTGAGGACAATGAGCCTGCCGAGGACGAGGAGGGCGAGGAGAATGCTGATAGTGCGATGCAGAGTGCCATGCTCGGCCTTGTCCAGGGCAAGCTCGCAGGCCTTCTCGGCAAGAGCTCAGGCTACATCGAGAGCCTCCCTGTCGAAGTCAAGCGCAGTGTCGAGGCCCTCAAGGGCGTCCAGGTGAAACAGACCGAGCTTCAAAATCAGTACAAGCGCGAGTGCCTCGAGCTCGAGAAGAAGGTGAGTGTCGATCGTCGCCGTCCTCCCCCTTCGTGTCGTCCGTTTGTGTACAACCCGTTATCTCCCCGCCCGTGCTTTCATGCTGTGCTCGATGGCTAATCTTCGCGTGCGATCTGCAGTATTCGGAGCTTCAGAAGCCATTACACGAGCGCCGCCGTGCGATCATCTCTGGCGAGGCGAAGCCGACTCTTGAGGAGATCAAGGCGGGCGAGGAGGAAGAGAAGAAAGAAGACCCAGACTACACGCCCCTTCCCGAAGCTACCGGCGAGGACGCGACTTCTGCTATTCCCGAGTTCTGGCTCACTGCGCTTCGCAATCACATCGCGCTGAGCGAGATGATTACCGATCGCGATGCCGACGCACTCAAGCACCTCGTTGACATCACGATCGCGTATCTGCCACCGAAGGAAAAGCAGCCCGGTTTCAAGATCGAGTTCCACTTCAGCGCGAATGATTACTTCAAGAACGAAGTACTCGAGAAGACGTATCTCTATCAGGAGGAGGTCGGTTATGAGGGCGATTTTGTGTACGACCGCGCAATCGGCACGACTATTGAGTGGAAGGAGGATAAGGACCTGACAAAAACTTTTGAGATCAAGAAGCAACGGAACAAGAGTGAGTTGATACCTTTCCCTGATCAAATAAATGTTTATATGCCCCGCAGACACCAACCGCACTCGACTCGTGCGCAAGGCGAAGCCCGCCGATTCCTTCTTCAACTTCTTCTCTCCACCAGTGCCCCCATCAGAGGAGACCATCGAGAGCGGTGAGATTGACGAGGACGAGCTCGAGGCGATTGAGGAGCAGCTGGAGATAGATTATCAGATCGGCGAGGACCTTAAGGAGAAGGTCAGTCGTCTGTTCTCGTGTTTTTTCTTTCTAACGTTTGTTCACCATGTCTGTAGATCATCCCTCGCGCTGTTGACTACTTCACCGGCAAGGCCCTTGAGTATGAGGGACTCGATGACGACGACGACTTTGAAGACATGGACGACGAAGATGACGACGATGAGGACCGCTTCGAGGATGTGCGTATTCTGCCTGTCTCGCGCTTACGGCCCCGGGCTGACAATGGCGCAGGACGACGAGTCAGATGACGATATTCCTGCACGTCGACGTGGACCACCGAAGCGCGGTGGCGCTGCTGACAATGTCAACCCTGAGGAGTGCAAGCAACAGTAATGTTCTCGTGCTTGCCCCGCGTCCTCTACCTTTACAGACACACTCGCATAGTAGCCCGTCTCAGCTCTCTTTCCTGACGATGACTCTGCTATTCGTCGCATTACTGCTACCTGCTGTTATCTGACCCCATTCAAAACGTTCGGCAATCCGTAATAGCACCCTTTCCCACTACCCACCTCGTCCTTGGTACGTAGGTAATTTCTTCGACTTGTTGGTTGTGCCCCTGGTGCTTGTGCTTGACAATGTAAAACATGGTTCTCGAACTATAAAAAGCCAAACTTCAGTTTATCCCCTTTGCCATTTGGACATTCAAGCAAGTAGACACAATCCGCCAGGCCTGAAAGTGACTTCGAGAACGCAATTGGCTATGGCTACTTGATGGAATTCATCACGGCGGATCAACTGAGCGCCTTCCTCCCCGTTTTCAACCGCGATATTCGCTATTTAGCTCAACAAGCTGGAAGGCCGTTGTTCTGCGCTTACAGTAATCAGGAGTACGTCGCCACCGGACTGGTTGTGCGGGTACAGCAAGCGGTGAAACGAACCATGTTCTCTGCTGAGGAGCCGCTTTTCTCGCTCAACACACAGCACACACGCAGGGGCGGGGACTGTGTGCCTTGAATCGGTGAGAATCGTGTTCCTTCACGTGCCTACATTCTTATCAAATTGGGCGGTGTGCACTGGCAGGCTCATGCGGAAGACACGTCTCTCAAGCTCTGTTCTCTCGCTCATACTACGGCTGGTCCATATTTTCGTAAGCACTTCTGGCGAAATTGCAACGAAGACTAAGGTTTAAGGGATGCCTGCAGGATCAGGCCAGGCCTAGGCGACTTGGGGCTGAAGTCTTCGATTCTCCCGCGAAGGGATGTCAATACGCCATCGATTCACGAGGATAGGGTGGGAATAAGCACAGTTTCGCCTGATCTTCGACCGCGATGTCGCTGAGCCTATTCACACCTTTCGAATGACTGGCACTTCTTGGTTTATATGTAAGAAGAAGAAGATGAAGACTACACCCGTAAGACGGTATTCGCAGGCAGGACGGTAACAAAGAGCTGTAGGGAATGCAAGCGCGGTCGAGATAAGCAGGAAGAGTAAGTTTAATTTCTGGTCGAGACACCGTGCACCACGGACTACGACTCACGCCATGAAATTAGGTTCGTCGACATGTGGGTTGCCATACTACGGGCCCTAGCCGTATAAAACCTTGCGCGGCCAGCACTCAGCACGACCAAGGCATCTGGGTTGCATGCCGTAGCCGACCCGTAGATTCCCCACAACTTCATCCCCTTCACCATCATCGTTAGCATGCAGCTCCCGGACCCCGAGATGTCTGTTGATCCCTGGCACACCGAAGAGCATGTCAACCAGACCCCTCCTAGCCGGGTTTCCTTCGACGCTTGCTTCGGCGTGCTCCATGTCAGCAATCAGGAGATGTCGGAAGTCCTCAGGAAAGATGTGAGCAGCAATACTAGCTGGGCGTCCTCCAGCGTGCACCCCTACGAGGACCACCTGTGCGTTACGTCATTTCTATCTCCCGAAGTTACGATTGTCACATTTCCAGCTAGGCATTCCACCGAAGACGATTTAGAACTCAAAGAAATGACCATAAATTACGACGGCGAGCGCATTTATGCAGGTAGTTCAGCTCATTTTCTGTTTTCGTCTGAGGTGGACAACGGCGGCGCCCCTCCCGCCCACGATTCCGCCCAGAGAAGCACTGCATCGTGAGAACTCAGCTAATCTCGTGCATCAACGGAATGATTTACCTTTCATGCAGCACATCGAGCACACCGGCATCTCCTCAGCTTGCGGCCGGGGCAGATGGAGCCTCGTAGGTGACCGCTTTCTTCACCATGACGACGACTCACTGGGCTCTGGCAGATATGAGAGGGAAAACAAGCCGGAGATCTCTCTCATGGAATTCAAGACCGAACGCCGCAAACAGGACAGCAATGACGATGACGACTGGATGCCGTGGTACTCGCTCGAATACGGCATAGAGGAGAGCGACAGCGCGTCTGTAGTCGTGAGTTCTCCCAGACATCGTTTCGTATGCCAAAGCATCTGATAGCACTCGACCAGTGCTACATAAACGACGTCGATATTTCCACAAGCACGATTCTTCAGCATGGCGACGATATCGTCCTCGTCAAGACCGAGCGCGACCCGTTCGACAAGAAACTCGACTACACTTTCCGCGTCACTCTTGTCAGCGCAGCCGACACCAATAGCCGTAGCTTCTCCGGCACGTGGGAGCAGAATGGAAAGGAATATGAATGGAAAGGCACGCTCAGGAAGTTGACGACTCGCAGCCGTACAGCCTGTGCGGCGCCCGAGCGTGGCCCAGGCGGGCAGACCCTGCAGCAGCTCCTGTCCACCTCGAGCCTGTCCTCGGTGACCAAAGTGCAGTCCGAGAATGTGGTCGTACGGGAGGACATCGCTCAGAACGAGGGTGATCGTATATTTGCTCGGGTAAGGCCGTGATATCCTCGAGCTGCATGCTCCCGCTAAGCATATCGACAGATCATCCTTCACAGTGCCCCCGACGATGTCAAAGAGCTGCTGTGTCCGGACCTGCCGGCGCTTGACCCGGACGAGACGAAGATCAAGGAGTTGGGTCCCGAATACCTTGAGCGGGCGGGCATCGTGAACATCATAGCGTATATCAAAAACATGAAAGAGGTCTCCCCAAGACAGAGAAGGCGGATCGACGAGACCAAATGTCAAGCGTTCACCAAGGCTTGCGCTGCGTTCGGCGAGCCGAATGCGGGCGTCGTCGACCACATGAAGGTCTCGCCCGACGATCTCTCTAAGTTCCAGGTCCAGTATCGTGCCATTGCCCAAGCCTGCTACCGTCTCGGCTACATTCGTGCGGTTCTCTCTTTTCAACCGTTCCTGGCAGAAGCCAGGTACTGGTACACACGTCTCGCCACGTACCTCGGTGAGCTGCATCGAGCCTTTTTGACAGACAGTCGTTATTCTGATCGTCGTCCTATCAGTGTCCGAGAGGCATCTCATGGAGCTGAAGCAGAGAGTCAGGTGCTCCGACACACGTATTCAGCAAGACATATTCGATTGGCAGAACAAACTCCAAATTCTGGAAGAAAGGGCCGGCGACATCGGCAATGCACCACAGATCCCGGATGTTGTCGCTGAGCTGCACGGCGTGGCTACGTTCGCGATTCTCGACGGCGTCATGTGGAGCGATGAGCATGCGAGCAGCATGGTAAAAGTGAGCAGCCCTTAGCCGTCGGCTGTCCCAACTGAAGTAACAACGTTCGCCCAGTTTTTCGAAGACCTCGACGAGATCGAACGGGCCACCAAACTCGATAAGTTCAACAAGCAATTAATGGACGAAAAGGCTAGGGAATACGCCAAGCTGCAAGAGCTTCTGGCGGAACGCGAGGCTTACACGTGGTCGGAGGTTGGGAAGTCTCTTGTCGAAGGCTTCGGGCAGCTCACCGAGCGGCTGCACCGTAAGCCATCTATGGAAGAACTCACGACGATCGTCAGTAGAGCATGGACCAAGGGAGGTGTCTGTCCGGAGATCTGGAGGAGGGGCAACACTTTACTTTTCAAGAAAGTTGCATGCGCCGCGCTCGTCATGGTTGGAACATGGATCCTCATGAAAGCCCTTCGTAAGGACCAAGAGGCGCTCGAGCGGTCAGAGCAGATCAGCATGTTCGCGTCGCTAGTCGGCGCCGTAATGTACTTGTGGAACCCCGTGGTTGTACCTATTGTGGCTGCGGTTGCGAAGGGCCTCGGCTGGGGCCTCAAGAAACTGCTCCCTACTCGTGCGCTGGGCTGGGTCGACGCTGCGAAGGTCCTCAGCATGAAATTTTCAAGAAAATTCGTCAACGGAGCGGCAGGAGCAGTCTGCAGCCGAGCATGGAGTAGGTGAGTGCTACAACCATTATGTTTTTTGCTGTCGGCTGATTTGGTCGCGCTGCAGCATAGCTAGCGGCCTCACTCTGACCTTCGGTGAGTCTTGCGTTTGGTTGCGCTTTGTCTGCGGTCTGAGCGGAGACGCTGTTAGGCTTCTTCGTGTCCGTGTCCGCCCTAGTCGCAAGTGCGTTTGAGCTGAAGAAGATGTTGAAAGAAGGGCGCACCATCGACAAGTGGTTTGCAGGTGCACAGCTTACCGTTTCAGCGCTGAGCACCATAGCGTTCTCGGTCCAACTCATACCCTCCTGTGTCGCATCCACTGCTATTGTCGCCCTTTCTGGGACGGTTGGTATGTGTGAGTCGTATTCCACACTCTTCTGCGGCGTCTTTCTGATAGGATCGCACAGGGCTGGCTGGAATAGGTGTCGTAGTGGGTGTTGTGGCTTTAGCTGTCACTCTTTCACTGCCAGGCGAAGATCGCGTGAAGATGATCATTGACAAGTACGGTGCAAGATATGGATTGCTCAGATAGCCTGCGGCCCTATACCTTACCTTATATTAGTATGTGAGCGCCCATAACACGTGAAGATTCAACTGCTCGCCTCCAGTTCTGCTATCAGCGGTTCCTCCTTCATTCGCGTTCCTGCGCGCAGGATCGGAACGCCATAAAGATAGAAGCTCAGAAAACACAGGCGGAGAGCTGCTGCTTAACAGTCGCACTCCATACCGGTCTCGTGCATCCTTAGGCTCTGAGCCTCTCTGTCCTCAGCGATCCAAAGCGTGTAATCGTTCCGCCGAGCAGTGTCGGTGAGGCGTGCGCTGCGCCGCGGAGGCCCAGCGAGCATGTGGAATCTAGCTAGGATTGCAGTGTTGACAACGCGGGACACCATGAGGGGAAGGTGAGCAGCAAGCATGAAAAGCTTAAGCCAGCAGCGCGATCCCAGAGGCTCACGGGCGCCTACTTGAACGAGCATCTTTTCTTGTTCTCAACGCTAGGAACCTTCAATCCTTCCTCAGCGGCCCATTTCAATGGAGGACTTCCCCACAGTCAATGTTCTTCATCCCGCACTTGACCGGGATGTGACCGGGGCGCTGATCTCGCTGACCGCCTACGATACCGTCCCTGAACCCGGAGGTGGGCGAGGGATGACTTACCCTGTTGTTCTCGAGGCTTGCTACATTATCGCCAGTAACAATTCAGAATACCTCTCCAAAACCCGTGATTCCACTGGGCGTGTGCCCGACACGACTCGAGTTCTTCGACACGGCGATTACTACTATATTCTCGACAGACAATACCACATGGGAGGTCATCACCTCCTTCGATGCCTGGTCCTTTACTGGTGCTCCATCCCGCTGGAAGGAGGCGTTAAACACTCCTGTTTCGGCCCCGGGACCCCAGTTGAGCCTTTATAATCCGTCGGGGATGGCGCAGGAGACCAAAAGGCGGGACGGGTTCTGCCTTGTTACCAGACAGCATGAGGGTGAGCTGCCTCTTCCATTGGTCTGTGCCACTCAGTCACCATGTTTTACATTGTATTTCCATACTCAGGTACGCAGAATAGCCACATTGTGCCTGCGGCACAGGCTAAGTGGTACCTGAAGAATCGCATGTGGGCTCACACCAAGCACGATGAACAGCTCCGCCAAAGGCTCGGAAAGAGGCTCATCAACTCCAGCGGTAACGGCTTGACACTCCGTGCAGATATTCACAACGAATTTGATGCCCTTCATTTCGTTTTTCTTATCAACGACGGCGCTCTAGTTTGCTATTTTTGACCTTTAGCCCAAATTATCCCAGCAATACCATAACGTAGCCGTCAAAATTCCACATCAAATCCCTGCTGAACTATTATACGCCCGCTTTGCCCTGGTGATCATCAGCCAATTACCCTCTCAAGATCTCACCAAGTCTCCTGCCTCAAGTTCGCACGCAGGTCGTAGGGTGGTCAATGTCACACGCACTGAGACAAGCAGCAGAACCTCTGCGAGCAAGCCACCGAGTTCGGATCTGCCAGGGATCCCGGAACACCACAGTTCGTAGCGAATACATCTAGAATTCTGGCATAGCATTCATGAGTCTCATCTGTAGAGTCTGACGAACCAATGGAGGTTGCCGAAGAAGAACCAGAATCCATGCAGGTGTTTGACCGGTTGACCTCAGCCGAGCTCACTGATGTCTTTCATGAGCGATTCCCTCACCTACGTAAGCTGGTGGCATTGTACTCTGATTGATCTCACTGATCTACATTCATTGCTGCAGGTGAGGAAGTCAGCCATTCTACGGACTGTGACTGGCAGACATTAGAATTTCATCCTGAGACTCTCAAGATGGAACAACTTCGAGACGAGTGGCTGGCCAACCATCCGGACATCAGGGCAACATTCGAACCTGTAGACGAGACTGTGAGTGAAGAAGCAGGTGACAGAGAATTTGTGGAAGGAGTTAAAATGGGAGAGAAGGAATTGTTGAGGTGTGTATAATGCTGGATTGCCTTGGAGTTTGGACGATGTTACTGAGTCACCTTGGCTTCCAGCCATTTAAAGACGAAGGCAATCATGGTGCTCCGTAATTTCTGCCTACCTCATCCACAGCAGGCACCATCGACTTCAGTATTGTCGGAAGGCAGTAACCTCCACCAGCCTCAGGTAACTGTACTTTCTGGATAATCCAATATCCCACTTTTCCGTGTAACTCTTCTCAGTGTAGCATCCTCATGTCCATTCGTGTATAACTTACAATTTGAAGCCTATAATACACAATGTGTATACGATATTGTCGCAAATCACTGGTGGTCTGGAGGCTGTGGGCGCTGTCTGGCGTCCGGAGCTCTCAGCGGACCGTTCAGACGAACGAACATGAGCTGCTCCTGCTGTAGTTGCGCGACCGGCTCAGGTAAATTGGTGGAGACGCCTCGGAGTCCGCATTCGCGCACTCGGCTCGTGAGCGTTGTCCAGACCTCGGGTTATGTGGTACAATAAAGAGACAGACGGAGATGTAGCGGCCGTGTCCTTGATGCCGGATTAATATTTCGTGTGGGTATTGGGCCGCCCATAGAACGGTCTCGTTCGTGCCGATCTACCAAGAGTTTATAAACCTCACGGAGCCGGTCGGAGCTGCTGGTGCGAAGGAAGCTAGGGCGGTCTCTGAGGCGTCTGTCCAGAGCACGGGTGGGCTCGCCATGCTCTTTGGTATGTTCACCTGGAAACTGGCCTTGAACCCGGACATTAACGCGACAGTTGCCGGCTTGCCACTGCCCGAAGAGGATGCAAACATGCGCCCCTGGTTGGCATTGTTGTACAGGAGAGGCCGCCGATACTGTCTGCAATGAGCATCACCGCAGCCGAGCGCAACAGTTTATTGGCGTTCGCGAGTAAGGGGAGGGACAGAGACGCAGCGGCTGTGGCCTCTTCTTTGGCGGAGTTTTCGCGTAGATATACCAATATTCTTTCAACCTACGGGTTACATTTGGCTACGCTATCAGGTAGATAGCAACAGAGTTCTGTCAGATATTGCCCGGTAATTGTCCACGAACTTCTCAGCCGGTCGAACCCCTCAAGAATGCTGGACCCTAGAGGTAGCGGTTGACCCATCAGAGACTAAGGTATCCAGGGAAGCGATGCTGCAGAACGTACTGGATGAACCATTCCTGGTCAGTCGCAACGGAAAGTCCTCCGTGCGCGTTCTGTGTAGCCTGGCAGTTGAACGCGAGGTTATCAAGGATCGATGCCTAGAGAAGCAATCCAGGTTCATCAATGAACATGAAATCTCTTATTGACACACCATACCCAGTCCGTCCGGCAGTACGTCAGAGCGACGTTGTCCTGGTTGACCATGAAACTCTCACAACTCTGGTAGGTCATCGTGATGAGGGAGGTGTTCTGCGCGGGATCGAGCGTGAACAAGGCACCTAGGACACTTCCGATTAGCATGCCCTCAGTGAAGCGTCAATCCAGATAGCCTACCAATGTTTTGGCTGTCGTAGAGCAGCGCGTCGGTAATGACGTGGCAATCGTTAGGGTCGGGTCCTCCACCGGATGGGGTGAAGCAGGAGGTATTGTCTACGCCCTTCGCTCAGCAGATGAATGCTACCGGGATGAGAGGCACCTACAGGGCGCGCCACAAACGTTGTTGCTCTGCCTCGCCTCGATGGCACGGGCGATTTGGGTCGTTGCAACACCGTCGCAAGCAGTGTACTGTACGAGAACATTCTTGTCGCGTCCAACGTAGTCGGTATTGACAGCACGAGGATTCTGGCAGTACTTGATAGAGGGCACGGCCGCGGCGAAGGCATTCGAAAGAAGCAGTGCTGCGGAGACGGCGACTCGGAGAACATTCATGGTGGTAGATGTTGCTGGCGGGTTGCGGATACTGGGCGAAGCACGCTGGCGGCTGGAGGTGTGCTGCCGCCGGACACACGCTATATATGCCTAGGTGAACGTGCCAGGGACATGAAGCGTCACTGCTACTGTGGGGCGACGGCCATGAAACTCCGCCTCGTCTTCCGTTTCTGTAGAGGCTTACTGATGACGGCACTGAAAGACGAAGGGAAGCAGCAACTTAGGGCTGGAGCTGACCTCATTGACCCTACATCGTATACCAAGATGGAAGGCTCCCGCCGTATGGCAGAGATTGAAAAACACGATGTCCGAGAATTATTCTAGCTGCAAATTACTACGCACATCACACCTGATCAGCTTCGAATCGCAGATTTAAGCAGTCGGACTTACAACTATACCATGGCTGCAATGGGCGCCTCCGTTTCATGTGACGTCTGAAGCCGGCGAATTTGGATCAATGGCTCCACTTAGCTTGTGGTCGAACGAGCGCGAAAGCAGGATAAGGCTGAGGACGTTGCGTTTCCGGTACACGTCAAAGCGCCATTACACGGATGATGACTTCTGAAAGAGAATACAGGCCTGGAAACTACCATAACGCAAATCGGGCAATCTTTAAGCCATAGACGACTCGTCTGGGTTCTTACATGCTTGGTTATATATTATCCCTTTGAAATGATAGGTAGTACCCGGTGGTGACGATATCGGCCCTAACGGCCATAGAAGCCTAAGAGACAGAGACAATGGTCTTACCGGCGGTCAGATATAAAGTACGAGCAGCTGGCGTCAATTCCAGGCGCACCTATGCTCGTTCAGCCTGGCCAGCTCCATCTCTAGCACACCCTATCACAGCACAATGATATCTAGGCTGTGCCTTCTCAAGGTACGCTTAGCCTGTTTCCTGGACATGCGTCTGTCGTCAGGACAAAGAAGTTACGGACATTATTGAAAACACACCTTAAAGCAACCTCATGAGCTCGCGAGTTTGAGGAGTTCAGGAGCCCCGGCATCGTTCGACGAAAAGACGTCGTCGCGTCAGAGTCAGTGTAGCAGTGCCAAAAACCCGGCTGTCTGTGACATTGCGTCTACAGTCGGTCTTGAAAAACGACGTGCATTTGTAATTTAAACTTTAATTTCCGGCCCCAAGTGAAGGCACAGGTAACCACGCTCTGGACACGCGATTCTGCGAGGACTTTCTGAGGAATAGGCACTGCAAACATGTCCGCTATGAGGCCAAGTAGCTGACAGCAATACATCGGTCAATCTTGGGCAGGAGTAACGGCGAAAGATTTGGTGGTAAAAGATACCCGACAAGTAGGGGAAGAAGGAGACTGGCCGCAGACGGAGAAGGGACGTTGGTAGTCACGTGATATATATAAGCGCCTTATCTTTTGCCGTGGCTTGGCGGGATCAACCACGCCCCCGCACGTCGCTGTCCTCGAGGCACCAGAGTTTGGACTATCATTGTGCATGATGTTGTCGACGGCCTCTTATATTGGACCCTGCAGGATGCGGAGAACGTCTACACTTTATCCCCACCTCTCCCACGAGCTCTCACCAAGCTTGGACAACGTCGTTCGCTGCCTTTGAGCTTCGAGCCAGCAGCGATGAAGGCCTTCACCCCTCTCATTTCTTTTTTCTTGCTCATTTCTCTGGTGCACGCTCATGGATACGTGAAGGCGATTGCCATTGACGGACAGTGGTATGCTGGCAACCAACCGAATAATTACGAAGGTAAGCAGGCGACCACGAATCGTTCATGTCAGAGTGCTAAGCTGCGCAGGTCCCAGTCCAATTCGTCTAATCGCAGACATTGGGCCGGTCAAAGGTGCAACAAATCCCGACATAGTCTGCGGTCTCAGCGCGCAGAAGGCCGCAATGGTAGTACCTGCGAATTCGGGCAGTGTCTTCGCAGTGCAATGGTCTGGCGGCGATGGGGTCAGCAACGTGCGTGTATCTCGGTCTTCTAGTATTGAACTGCACTATAACGCGTCGCCTACAGTGGCCACATGATATTGGTCCTTTGATGACCTACATGGCCTCCTGCGGTAGCACCCCGTGCAATGAATTCGACCCAACAGGTGCCAAGTGGTTCAAGATCGACCAGCTCGGCAAGGAGTCGGACGGCAACACCTGGTTCCAAGCAGACATCATGAACAACGGCGATTCATTCGACGTAACACTTCCGCAGAACCTCGCCCCAGGCGGATACCTCATTCGTCACGAGATAATCGCCCTCCATCTCGCCACTGAGATGGGCGGCGCCGAATTCTACCCCATGTGCACCCAGGTCATGGTTCAAGGTAATGGCAACGGCAACCCAAACCCCACAATCGCCTTCCCGGGCGCGTACTCGGATAGCGACCCCGGCATCTACGACCCCGATGTGCGTATAATTCACTCGTGTATCATGTGCACGGCAGCTGACGCTTAGCAAAGGTATTTAATAACGGGTCAAGCTACACCTTCCCCGGCGGTCCCATCGCGAACCTCGCCGGTACCGACGCCTCCATGGCCGCGCCCTACACAGGCCCAACCATCTTCCCCTCCGGTACGTCCGTCGCGCCTATTCCCGAACCTACATCGACGGGCGCACATACGGGGGCGTCAGGCACATCAACTACACCGCCGTCGACACCACAGCCATCGTCCCCACAGCAGACCGCAACCTCGCCTGCGCCGTCCACGGGCGTCATAGGGGGGTCACGGAGCGTCACGTGTCGCCTCAACCTGCCCGGGAGCAATTCGAACCAGCGGCGACATTTCAGGCGGTTCCTCCGCCTGCTCTCGCGCTGAGCGTGGCGTGGGCTTGTCCCTCTTTTTCGCGGTGTGGCGCGGTGTGGTGCGCCGGTGTGCTGGTCCGATGGGTGCCCTCGGTGCCCCAACAGAAGATGATCGACCGTCGGTCGTGTATCTCAGATGCGACACGAGATGCATCCGCCTGGCACACGCCGCGTCTGGGTTCACTCTGTCGCTATAGACTGGGTCGTGCTCGAGTATATATTCGTAGTTTATTTCTCTATGTATAAAACTTCGTCTGCCAGTCCGTATGTAAACCATGAGACCCTGGAGTGCTCGTCCCATTCGTGGGTGCAAGCATAACCGGATGCTGAAATTGTAGCTCTAGACCGCCGTAACAGCTGCCTTGCATGGATCGCACCTCTGACGTCGGAGCGGGATGTCCATTCCGGGGCCGAACGCACGACGTGCTTGCGCTGTGGAGCGGCGCGACAGCTTCCGGTCTTAATTCAGGGTGAAGTCGTTTTGCACGGCGGGACGCCTGCATATGGCTAACGTCGTGTAGGCGGTGTGCTGGGCAGACGCTAGATTCGGAAGGCGCGGCCAAGGACCTTCAAGGGTCTGGTAGGAGCGAGCTGGTCATCGCGCGAGCTGTTCCCGCGCTTGACTTGCCAGATCAGCAGTGGATCACGAGCTATGACGGGAGCGTGCTTGGTATATCGAAAAAGATGGAGCTTCAGTGATGTTGCGAGTTTTGAGACAGCTGGCATTCGGAGGCTCGTGCCCTAGCGTACGGGCACTCAAGCTCAAGCGTTCGCTAACTAGAAATTGCAATCTTGCTGCCACTGCGACGGGACCGGATGAGGGACCGATTCAACAAGACTGCTACGATCTACCTTTGCCCTCACAAACACTTTTACGGTATCTTGTCGTGAACAAGTGATATCGGGAGCCTTGGGCCAAAGCGTCGACAGCGGTAACCCACAGAATACCAGAAAGTGCAGCCGCGAAAGTACGAACGAGACGGACGCCAGGAGTGTTGATCTTCGGGACGCTCCATAGTCTTGACCTTCTAAAAATTACAAAGCCAGCTCGAAAGGCGTCATGGTACTGCTTTGCTCCAACATGTAACTATGGCGGAAAGACGGTTTCGGAACGGTGCGTCGGATGCAATGACGTCGGGTGACCCGACGCTTTCCAAATTTGGATGCCTGTCGGGAGGTTCTGCAGCGCGCCTTCGCGGACTTCGGAAACCAACCTCAACCGCGTCAACCGAGTCGCACTTTACACAAAGTGGCAGTTCAGACGTACATGCGAGGGCATGGCGTGCGTTCGTGGTGCTTACTCTACACGAGCTGCCAGTGACACAGGCCACCCAATAATTACCGAAAAGTGCTTCCACCTCATTTTGCTTCCGCCAGCTGCGATTTGGGCTCTACCAGCCCGAATTGCAACTGGTGAAAGGTTTCTAGCAATGCAGCTGGCGCTGACTTTGACTCTTTCAGCTTTATGGCACCTAAATCGCGCAATATGTGAGTTTTCTCTGTACTGCCAAGACCAGCCGTGGTCGTTGACCGAGGGGACTCAGATCTGCCCTTCCCGATCGGGGTCCGTCGAAGATGCGGAAAGGCTGACAAGATCGACGGACAGGGGTGGATAACAGCGATGCCGCCGGGCCCAGTCGACATACGGATCCGGCAAAGCCCTATAAGAACTTGTGCGTCCGTTCCGTCGTCAGCCATCACATACTCTATTCACGACCACAACCATGTCTACTTTGCACATGCCATACGACAACTCTGCATACTATCTGCATCCGCATGGGGATCTCTCCGAGTATGACATAGCCATGGCACTCGACATGCGACCGCTGGGTTTGGCACAGCAGGTGCCCACGGACCGTATAGACGGCTTCATCCCTGCCTCGTCAAGCTTTGCCCATCATACTCTCTACGACGATGCTCCTGCATTTGCCTTGTACCCTATCCTCTCATCTGACAATCTCGTTGACCTGCGACACCCAACACCCCGCCGACACATCTCCCCAGAGATGCTCTTCCCGTCAGAACACCCGCTCCTGCACGCGAGCTCGTCAGCACAGCAGCTCAACGGCTACCGCGCTGAGCCTACGGGATCGCTCTTCCCCTCTGGATCGTTCACCGAGCCGTCTCTGTTTGCACCTATCATCGAAGCCCCTACACGACCCGCAGCCGCAGCCGAGCAGCCGCCACCGCCGCCGCCTCCCTCGTGGGCCATGTCTGGGTCGCTTGACCCTACCACCGGCATCTACCAGACGGCTCCTGAGCATCCTCGTGTGCGCACCCAGCAGGCTTGCGAGAAGTGCCGCGGTCGAAAAGCCAAAGTATGTGCCATTGTATCATATCACTAATAGCTCTCATTGACGATTCGATTTCCCGGCACATAGTGTAGCGGGGAGCGCCCTTGTCAGCGTTGCATCAACCGCGGTCTGCATTGCGAGTATGCTTCCGAGCGGAAGATGCGCGGCCCGAACAAGGTGAAGCGCAACCGTGCGGGCGTGAGCAACGGCAAGATCACTCGTCGGGCCTCCGTTGCCTCGTCCGCTGCTACCACGAGTTCCGAAGAGGAGGCGCACTCCTCGCCCAAGCTGCCGCCGTTCACTACTGAGCCCCGGCAGTTTACCATGAGGCTGGACGTACCCACTGCTGCGGCTGACGGAGAGGCCTCTTCGGTGCCGTCGTCCGCCTCTAGCTCTCCTCGTTCGGACCACATGCCGTTGTCGCCCGTTCGCGCTGAGAAGGCTCGCCCGCCGCCGATCAACCTCGAGGGCACCCACCTCTACGACCAAATGCCGCTACCGCTCGTGCGGGATGTTTCCGCTTTCGCCTTTGACGGCGCTAGTCAAAACGCATCTCGCCGGGCATCGTTGCCGTCGCACCTGCTCGCGTCGCACATGGATCGTCTGTCAGGCACGGGGGTCTACTCACCTTCAAGAGGTCTCGATGTGATCGAAGCGACACCTAGGTAAGCCATCTGTGACTTCGCTGTCTCGCCCTTACTTACCAGGGTATCTTTGCAGGCCGCGGTCGAGCCCCGCTCATCCCATGGAACTAATCGATAACGGGCTGTCGCTGATCCCGACGTCGCACTCGACGGGTAGCTCGTCCAGTGCATCCGGCTCGACACCCATCACGCCTCTCAATGTCCCGGTGTCCGACGAGCTCATGTACTCGCTGGACTTCCCGCCGTCCGCGCTCGTACCCAGCAGCGGCTTCACGCCCGAATTGGGTTCGTTCTCGCAGTTCGAGGGCCCGAGTGCGTGGCTCTGCCAGGACATGGATCCGACGCCAACGCTGGCTGGGGACGACAAGAGTTTCACCATGCTGGAGCGTGAGCTCATCCGCCACATGTAACCGTACTCTGCTGTATCTTTGATCTCGTGTATATCTTGTGGCTATCTCTGTACTTTGACTGGATACTATACCTCATAACTGCTAGTGCCCTCTGTTACACTCTTGTATCGTAGATGCGTAAACGTAATTCTGCCTCTCGTGAGCTTGTGAAATCGACGCCGAATCTCATGTCGTCGTCGAAACGACTTCGATCCAGGCGAGCATGGTCAGGGAACCAAGAGGGGGATCTTGCAAGTGCATCGCATTTTGCCTCCGCTAGCTACCAGCCTCGCCAGTAGCGATGGGCCCTCTGCACCCGCGTTCCCCGCACGTGGGATCGAGCTGCGAGTGCGTGAGATTATGGGCAGAAAGTCGGTGGGCGGCGATCGCACTTGCTGGAAGCTCAGGCAATTGGAGTCGGCGGCGTATTAGAAAGATCCGAGCCGTGTTCGACATGACACGTAGCGCGGGGGCAGCCGACTTGGCAGAGGTCTAGAATGGAGACGGAGCCCCTGTCTACAACGGGTAATCTTACCCAACGGTATTAGCATCGTGATACATTTTTGTGGGCTGAATAGCCCGGTGAGTGAGCAAGTTCCTCAGACTAGCAGTAGGGCACGCTGAAACAACGACGAGCCACAAACTTCACGTTTGGTCGTGGCTCCTGAAGCAAACAGCAAAGTAACAGGTTATTCAAAAATCCTGGCGAGTACAGCAGCTGCTTTGGCGCAACCCCGTCATATTGCGCAAAATCCTCCAGTATATTTTTAACACAGATGTGTAGTCGCTTCTCGCCAAAGCCCCCGACGGCAGGCGTGCGCCGAAGCCACAAAGGGTCACACATCTGATTGTGACACTGGCGCAACACTTGATCCGCGGGCGGGCAAAGGGCCCGCCGCGGCTTTAAACGCCCGATGTTGCTCGACTTGCCAATGCTCGACGACCTTTTGAGTACCGCCATCAGTATGCATGCAATGATAGCAAAGTCTTTAATATGCGGGTTTTATTTTTTTTCAGTCCACCATGTGGTATGAGAGCTCCGTCGTTGTCAGAATAAGCCTAGCGGGTGGACGACTGCGAGTAAGCGGCCTAGGGATCCCGAGCTGAAAAAGTGCTAAGATTGTCCTTGGGTTTGTATAGCTTACGATTCAGACAAACTACGCTGAGAATTGAACCAGGTCCCTTACTTGCGTCTGGCCTCAGCTGGAACCCGCACTGCGCGTGAAGCAATCTCCCTCGCGGAGCAAGAGCCCCAGCGCTTATTTAATTGTGCATCCTGATTCTCAACTACCATGGAGTCGGTGTACCCGGCTCCTTCGGTCCTTCCCCGACGCCCGCTTCAATAAACTCAGTCTTTAATGTTTATTTTTTCCTTCCTGCGTTGGGCCGGTTCGAAGGCCAACGGCCCCTAATCTCATTTGCCGCCTACGACTCGGACCCCATTCTGGGACGCGAGCAATCGGGAGTGGATTATCCCGTCGTTATCGAGGCGTGCTATGTCATTGATAATAACAAGAAAGGCTTCATTTCCTCCACCCGCGACTGTGAAGGGCGTATGCCTGACATGACTCGAGTCCTTGTGCCTGGTGAGTACTTCTACGTCGTTACCGACTCGGACATAAACAAGACGTACGAAGTGGTCGCTTCACTCCATGATTGGTGCTTTCCTGGAAGTATTCCAGCTCGCTGGATGTCTGCATTCCGCAGCGCTTCCCCGAAACCGGAAAGATACACAAACGTCTACAGTACGCCGCGAATGGCGCAGACAGTGGAGGGACAGGATCGTGCATACCTTCTTACCAGGTATCTCGAAGGTAAGCCGCCTCTGCTGCCATCAGCTTACACCACTTGATCATCTCTTTTTTTCTTTATCTTTACGCACTTGGGCAGAGTGACCTGTTGCATCCAGCGCATACCCACTGGTACCTTATAAACAACATGTGGAAGTACAACACCTCGGAGAGGATATCCCTACCAGCAGCAATGGTTTAGCTCTCCGCAAGGATATTTCTCTCGTATCTGACGCCCACTCTTTCGTGCTCGCCATCAGGGATGGTGTTGTCGTCTGGCATTTTTGGGATTTTAGCGAACAACTTGCCTACATCTACCAAAACGTCATCGTCAAAGTCCCGAGCGAGGTTTCTCCCGAGCTATTATACGCGCGCTTTACTCTGGCCACCATCAAGAAAGCGAGCTTTTAGGATTTTTCTCAACCTCTTATTCTAAATGCAGCTCCTAATGTGGCCAGCGCACCACTTAGCACAGGCATGCTGTATGTGCCGGGGTCTTGTGGCTCGTGATGATAAGCGAACTATTCGTGTGTCTGATCCGTAGACCGCAGAGCCTGACGAGTTAATGGAGGCTGACGAGGAAGAAGCGGAATCCGCGGGCGAGTTGAGCCAGCTGACGTCCAGCAAGTTTGCCAGCATATATTTCGAAAAATTTCTTCATCTGCGTAGGCCAGTGATAGTCCTCCGTCTCAACGAAATTTGCTGATGTACCTCCGATGCTCTAGGCGAGGTCAATTATTCCTCTGACAGCCATTGACAAACGCTCGCTTACTAAGTTTCAATGTGAGACGCTCAAGATGGAACAACTTCGAGACGAATGGCTAGCCAAGCACTCAGCTATACGCGCCACGTCTAGTCCTATCGCGGATATGACGAGTGACGAAGGGTACGATGAGAAAGCTGTGAAAGTAGCCGCAGAAGTCCCACAGAGGTGCGCACAGTGGCCTGCTGGGCCAAGAGACGTCGTTAAACTTCCCCAGTATCGAGCTTGAACCCGTTAATGCCCTCGACAATAGTGCAAAGCTTTTGCCATCCTTGCCTGCAGAGGACGTTTTAGCCTTTCATAATATCAGAGGAGAGTAACTCTAGGCTGTCGCCCCTATCTCTACTCAGATGAGCCCCGTATCTACCGCATCTCATCATTATAATCGTGACATATACAGTAACTTGGTCTTGTGTAGCCTTACTCGTCTGGTAGTCTCCTCCCCCGCTGTTCTGTGTATTCTATTCATAGTGCTTCGTCAACAGGATATCTCGTTGTTGTGTCTAAGCATCCCAAAGCATACATTTTTTCGGCATTGCGCGCCACTCCCGCGGCGAAAATCTGCACGTTGGGGTTTTCGGCTCCGGAATCTTTCTCCCTATATTCTTCACGTTTCGATGTTTGATAAGCCTTCCGGGCAATAAACAATGGGCTGCGCCCATGGCGACAGTGTGGAAGATACGTCTGCAGCCAGCTGCCACGGCCGTACGCACCACAGCAGACAGCCACGCTGTTTTGTCTTCAGACCCTGAGGTCTGGGCGCGCACGATATCATTGGAAATTTGGACTGAGCTAGAATGAGCACCTTTTCGACTTGCCCTTGGAAAACAGGCATCGGATTGGCGTTGTCAGGCAGCTGGAACCAGGCAGCCAAAGATCCAGTGTCTTACACGTGTTCGATGCTGCATAGCCATTGCACATATGCTTTGCTCATGGCACAAGCATAACAACGTTCTCTCAAGGGACGATAAGATTCTTGCTTTTGGCCAACTGCTTTGTCTGGCATACTATTGTCGTGATACGACGACTGGGCTGCGCGAGCACGAACTGGCGTGTGGCACGCGGGCACGATCTAATACACACGGTGTTAGTCTGAGTGCGAAGGGAAAGAGCACACTGTATAGCTATGTACCTAATACACACGGTGTTAGCTAGACAGGGGTCCGGTGAGCATACTACATAATGCGCAAGAGCGGCGAAGGGACTTACTCTGAGTGCGAAGGGAAAGAGCACGCAGAGTGGGGATGCGAGAGGAGTCCTTATATACTAAAAGGAAGCAAAAATTGAAAGTCCGCTAGAATGGGGAAGCCTGCCATAAAGAGGTCTGTGCGTGGGAGCACTACATATGATTGTCCAATCACTATCTACGTATTAGCAGCGCCTAATCTAAGATGTCCACCTTAAGTCCATGCCGGGCGGAACGCCGAGCCAGAGCCACTAGGCGCTTCAACACATACCACTCATTCTCGTTGTCTCTATCACAGCTGCATTTCATTGTTCCAACTCTGCAAGCCAAGATTGCCAAATGGGATGTGCATGTAGTATATATTAAACGCGTTCCGCATGCGGAATTTCGCTGCAGCATTCAGCTATCATATCCATCATGCAACCTGCTTGTGGAGTTGCCTTGGATGGCACCAGCAAGTTCAAGACCTTCCGACTCGCTGCCAAAACCCTACCCGTAGTCTCCCTCCAGCCTCCAATCAAGGTCACGAACAGCAAGGCTTCGGATGCTTCGACCACTGCCCCAAGCCTGCCGCACAAGTGGCACAGGAGCAGCTCGCGCTCGTCCGTCAGGACCATCCGCCCGGAGCTCAAGAGATCCGACAGCACCGAAAGCATCAAAACGATGACCTACTCGATGCCACGTCCCGTGCTGGCGCACTCCGTCTCGCACTTCTCGCACAACCCTTGCGCCGGTAGACCTGCGATGCCCGAGGCAATAGCGCATGATCGCGGGCGGTCCCTGGTGCGTGAACGAAGTGACGTCGCCGCCATCGCCGACTCGGACGCCACTCCTAGAGAGCATCTCAGAGAGATCCGCGAGCAGCTCGCACGGTCCAGACGCTCGATTGAGAACCTACGGCAGATCGTGGAGAGGCGCAGGGAGGCTAGGGTTGCGGCGAAGACAACTCCTTCAAACCATGATATGGCGGTGACGGCAACTGCGGCGGTGGCGACAAAACCTGAAGCGGGCGATGACGACCGGTCGGACGGCTTTGCAGGCGATGTCGAAGTCCAGATCCAGGAGGCTCTCGATTCGGATGCGGACTCAGGTGAAAGCTCGTTCGCAGGGGCATATATGCGCGACGGCATGAACGAGTTCTGGGGGCCAGGTCGGTTCCGAGTCGAGATCAAGAGTCTGTGGGAGCACACGACGCTCTGGGACCTAGAGGCGGAGTGAGTCGATTGCATAATCAGCGACGCACACGATGTTAACCTAATCTCTCTAGACACATCTACCCGTGTGTGTGCACTCTCGTCATCGCCGACCTACACACGTCACGCCCCATATACGACACGCCGCCCATCAAGAATATCCGCCTCGACTTTTGGGCATCCTGGAACAACGAACCAAGAGGTCAGTCTACCACCTTCAGCGACGCGGAACTGGAGCACGCCGCGTGGAAGGCCAGCTATACCGGGTACATCGTGTCTCGCGAAGACGCCAACGCCAGCATGTTGCACAATTCGGATAGCATTTTCATGTGCGATGACTGGCACAGCGTGGCCGACGGCGACGCCTATAGTGCCCATGGCACGCTGTTCTTTGTTCCCATCCCCACGGAGCAGCTCCTCGCCTGGGAATCCCGCGTATTCCGCATGCGCGCGTATGTCGTCTTCGGAGTTGAAGAACCGGGACTATCGCTCCCGCAGTTCGAAGCTTGCTCTGCTATCATGGATGTACCTATCGAGTCGCTCAGGAAAGAACACCACATGGACGGCAAGCCTCTGCTGCACAGGACGAATCTACTACCTGGCAAGTGGGACTAGCTCCACGTTCCTGCGGCACCATCATCAGACATCCTCCTGTACACGTTGCCGAAAAACGCACCACACTCCTTATTTGGTTTCATAGACGAATCCCGATCTATTAAGAAAAGAGGTTAATTATAATTAACTGTGTTTCACCAGTTCCTAATGAAATGACTTTCGCGAGGTAAATGATGGCCCAAGCTGTGGCAAGGCTTACGATGAGCGTATTTGTATACTGGGATCCATTGAATCTTTATAGACAGCATTGGACACACGCAATCCAAACGGTAAGTACAGCCACGCTGTTTACTGCGCGGCCCTGCGCGCAAACTCAATCAACGCTCTGTGAAACACATCAGCAATGGAATACTATCAAGGATACACGAACACATACCTGGTGGGACGACCAGTCATGCCCCTCTCCTGGTACGGTCCCTGGCGGGTCGCCTCCATCGTACCAGCCATGTCGATGTGTGCCCAGCGGACCCTGCCTTCGCCGTCCTCGCTCTCAAGATCTGGGACAAACGACTTCAGGAAGAGAGCAGCTGTGCACGAGCCTGCGGGGCGGCCGCCCGTGTTGCACAAGTCCGCGTTTGAGCCCTTAATCTGTGGTGCGTAATCTTCGGACAGAGGCATTCGCCAGAAGCGGTCGTGCTCGCGCTGTCCCGCCGATTCGAGTTCGCTCCAGAGGCCTTCCGAGCTGGCGAATACGCCTGTGAAGATCTCGCCGAGGGCAATGTCCATGGCGCTGTCGTTTAATTTAACAGCAAGAATCTGAACAAAGAGCAACGACACGTACCCAGTGAGAGTTGCGACATCGACGACGGTCGTCGGCTTGAACTCCGTGCAGGCATAGTACAGGGCGTCCGCAAGCACCAGACGACCCTCAGCGTCGGTGTTATCGACCTCCACACTCTTACCATTCATAGCGTATACGATGTCGCCCGGCTTAGTCGCGGACGGGCCAGGCATGTTCTCGCTGAGTGGCGTGACGACGGACAAATTGATGGGAACCTTGAGCTTCGCAATGGCGAGAGCAGCAGACACGACAGTCGCAGCGCCACCCATGTCACCTCGCATAAGCTTCATGCCTAGGCTCGGCTTGATGCTGATGCCTCCAGAATCGAACGTAATGCCCTTGCCAACGAAGACAAGGGGTGCTGCATTCCTGTCTGCCGCGCCGCGGTAGTGGCTGGGGCAGCGTAGTATCAGCGACCCGCACGCGATCGACCAATGGGACACTTACATTTCAAGGAACTTGGCGGGCTGCGCAGAGCCGTGTGTAACAGACAAGAAGCTGTTCATGCTTTTTTGAGCAGCCCATTCTGATGGAAAACATGAGCGATAGCTGCGAACGGCCCGTTTGAGACTTCTGCTGCTCACCTGTGTCCCGTACAATGATCTCGACGCCATCAACACCCTGAAACTCTTTTTTGGCGCGCTCGCAGAAGTGAGTTGGCGTGAGCATGTTCGCGGGCAGCTCCATGAGCGTACGCGCGAGGTTCTGCGCTTCGGCATACACGACGCCTTCTTGCCACGCCTTCTCATCCGCGTTGGCCGGGATGGGCGAGAAAGACAGTCGAGGCGGCGACGGCTTCTGGTTGTTGGGAGAAAACGAGGAAGGAGGCTCCGTCTTGAGGTTGAAGCCGTAAAGGGCGAGATGCGCCGCGACGGCAGCGGCATGGGCATCGCCTGCGGCGACATCCACCGCAACCTCACGGCCGTTGATGCCTTCGCCGAGGGCCTTGACCTGCTGGACAGCGCTACCAATGGCAGTCCTGATAAGCTCTCGCTTTGTGTTCTCCGACATCGAGTGCTTTGAAAACGACGGCCCCAGGGAGGCCAGCGCGGTGATATTCTGGGACCCAGAAGAGGGTGTATTGAAGAAGAGGTTCGTACTGCCGGCCTTGGGTGGTTTGGGGCCCTGTGGGAGGGACGACCAGAGCTTCTCCACGTCAAGGCCGTCGGCAGAGCTCGTCTTTGGGGACGACGGGTCCAAGGGCACGACAAAGATGGAGGACATTGCGCGGTGAACTTGCAGGTGGGCGAATGAGCGAGAAGATAACGAGAGTAGCGTGCGAGCAACAGGGGACATCAACTGATTTTTATAGCCGCGAGCCGTCTTCGACGGCAGCGGAGCAGAACGAGGCGATGGGGGAGCGAGACAAATCTCAGTTTCGAAAATGAAAACACGAACTCACGGGCAGGCCGAGTATTTCTATATCTAGGCTGATGGCGGGATTTTTGTGCTGCTTTTGCCGTCTGGCGGGGCGCCCGTCACATGTTTCCCGACGCCCACGGTTTCACCCCGCTATCACACGATCTTTTGTCTGAAGGATCTCTATGTCGAGTATACCTACGATACCCTCGGAACTGATAATTGAAATCCTCAGCTTTCTCAGATATCACAGGCGGACACTAGCGCACTGCTCTCTGGTTTCGCACCAATGGTACCAGCTGAGCGGCCCGTTTCTGTTCCACTCTCTGCACCTCCGTGACCCACCACCCGGCTATCCAAACGACCCCTTCGATGCTCTCTATGCATTCATATGCGATAACTCACGAATTCGAGGCCTGGTGCGCGAACTCAGGCTTGGTCCCGTCGACAGTCAGTTCGAGGTGAAGATCTCTCTCGGCCGCATCCGCTCTCTTCTGGCGTCTTTGCCGTCCTTGAACAGCCTGATCGTGGACTCCATTCAGCTTCATGAGATACCTGGCGATGGCCCGGGAGAAGGGCAGGATGAGCACCGTCCCTTGCGGCTGCAGCACGCTGCGCTGTCCGCTTCATTCTGCTTGGGCATTCATCAAACGTTCCTTTCTCGGTTCCTCTCGCTCTTCGAACAGATAGCTGAGCTACAAATTCAAGGCGCAGTCATGTACCGCACCCTTCACAACCCGCACCGCTTCAACATGCCAGTTTCCTACGATCTTCATCTCGCAGCAGACAGTGTCCGCCCCGCGGTGCGGTCGCTGACTCTCGTCCGCTTCGACTTAGCCCAGAGGCTACTCCCCGTCCTTCCTGCATTCGTTCGCATTGACGCCCTGGAAGCTCTCCGCGTTAGCCACTTCACGGGCGGCCTCGTCGCGATGGTGGACGCACTGCTCTGCCAGACGCCAAACATGCGGGAGCTCACGCTCCTTTTCCACCGATTTGCGTCTGCGAATCTATCATACGCGGTTGGTGAGTCCATATCCAGAACTGCCCACTCGCCACACTAACGTGCCCTGTCACAGCACAAAGCGAGAAGTACCACCTGCCCGGTCTCACGCGCTGCCCGCATCTCGAGTCGCTCGCGCTCGGCGTCGAGATCCACCTCGACTACGACCTCATCGAAATCAACCAGGTATATTGGCGGCGCTGCCTTGAACCTCTTTCCAGCGCGCCCTCGACGCTGTGCCGCGTCTCTGTCTCGATTCAAACGTGGGCGGTGACCGGCACGAATTACTTCGAGCCCCTCGCAGAACTCGACTGGGAACTACTGGACAGCGTTCTCTCGCACTTCACCCATCTCACCACCATCAAGGTGTACATCAGCAGCCGCAACATCGGGCGTTGGATCCTCGCGGAGGACGAGATGCGCAGCCGACTGGCTGAGAAGCTTTCGGCGCGAAACCGGAGTATGCTGCACATTGCTTTTGGCGATGCCCCTTAAACACATCCGCGGTGAGTTTTAGATAATGATACGACAAGCTCGAGGCTCATGCTAATACCTGGCCCCATGCTGATAGAAAAAGGTTGCGACTGCCTGGACTACTCAGTACGCACAGGCAACACTCCCATTTCTATCTCGCACTCCCTCTCATACCTTCATTGCTATATTCTTCTGCTTTTGTCAGTGCTCATGCTGCCGACCGCCGGCATATTTTGGAAAGTTTCTTCTATTTTGATTCTTTGTCTATCTTAGTCCCGTCCGTTAGCTAAGGCACACATATCTTCGTAACCTTATAATATTCTTCCTGACAGCTGATAGGATGAAATGTTCACAAATCCCGTCCTACGCGTCCTCGACAGCCCATGCTCTCTCTGGCCTTGTCTCGCTTGGGCGGCGGCGCACGAGGATCTTGAGAAAGCTTTTGTCCGCGTTCGCAGCTCGTGTACCGACGTCGAGTGCGCGCACGCCGCACTCAGCGATGTTTGGACGGTGCTTCGCCGTGAATGCGCGAAGTGAGTCCAGTGCGGCCGCAAGGTCGTCTCCAGCTATCTCGCGCATCTGCTGCGTCTGGCGGCAGCGTGCCTTGTGTGTGGGCCATGCTGCTCCCTGACACTCCTTGCTCTGTCGATACGGTCAGCTTTGATGTGAGTAGCTCCGAGTCAGCGCGGATGGAACATACGCAATACTGGTCTATTCTGCGTACTGCACGGACAGAGAGCGTGACGCCAGGCTCCTTGGACTTGAAGCAGTGCCGACACTGTGCAAACTCGCGTTTTCACCTGTGTGTAGGCATGGTTGTGGTTGGCGGCGAGACGCAAAAATGTCGCGAGACAGATGGTGGAAAACATATATAGCCGCGTTGTCGAGCGGCCCGCGCCAGAGGTCCCACGCCACTCGCACGAGTGCACATCTGGGCCTGTTAAATTCTTAACAACATGCTCACGGTCGCACAAGTCGCCAGAGTTGAAAATAATCTGGCCATGTACAGGAAAGCTTCACGCGGCAAGCCCACATGCGACGTTGCGACCTTGGCGTGTATTTCTTCGCGTTGTCCCCACTTGACGCACGCAATGAGCCTTGTCGCTACCATGCAGACGTGTACTACTGTGACTATTGCTAAGGACAGGTGTAATAGAGTTGAAATGAGGTTTGGAACATGCTTGTCTCCAGGGAGCTTAGGAATGGCGGAATGTGAGCATAGCGCCGGCGGTGGTTGGAATGTGTAACCTTGACATTGAAATATGTAGAGCGAAATCGCCATCCCATACGTTCCGGGAGCACGTTACACAATGTATACCAATTAATTATCTGTTGCTACAATACTACAGTTATGTGCGTTTACAGGGGAATATGCGCGTGAAGAGGGCACGAACGGCAACGTGCAAAAACACCCCCACGAGAAAAGGGGTAATATATGATGCTGAGAAGATGCAAAACAAGAAACAAAGAGGGCCTGTTGATCGCTGGTAGGCCCACATATGCATGTACAACGAAAGCTAGGACGAACGAAGAACTCAAGCATCGACGAAGAGTAGTCCAAGAGAAAGAAAGGGTCTATTTTCGAGGGAGGGAGATGGCAGGTAGTCCAGGCAGGCCTGCCTGTGACGCAAACGTTCGCGCCAGATTCTGCCGCTTGACATGCGCCTCGGCGAGCTTTGCCCGCTGCTTACGTACATCCTCGTCCTTGAGCTTCACCGCAGTTGTTAGTTCGAGGAACGCGTCCGCCGTCGCAGGTAGCATAGACGCCGGCGGATGGAGAAGTAGATTAAGGATCATGTCCCGCTGCGCACACTGCATCACCTGCTGCTTGCAGCGCATCATAATCGCCAAACCGACTCGGAAGAGGAATGGCGCGCCTGCACCCGGTCCGCATCAGTAACCGGTCGGACTTGCACTAACAAGCGCACCCACCTTCGAACAGGAAAATATCCCAAACGCGCTGCGAATGCTCTAGCGGCAACGCTTCGAGGAAGAGAGCGGTGAACCATGGGCGGCAGAGACTGGTAGGCGGGATGTCCATCTCTACGAACACTTTTTTGGCCATCGCCGAATCATTGGATTCGACAGCCTTTCCAAACAATGTCGAGTCGATCTCCATCTGCGCAGGACTCGCAGAAAAATACGATCGTACGTGGGTGTCCATGAGCGACACAAATGTCCAGAATGCATCTTCTTCCGGCGACTGGAGAAGCAGGTGGCCAGCAATGACAGTTAGCCCTAGCGATCACGACGTTAATGCCGATTTCAACTTGAAGACTCTCGTGATGAACCCACCCCGACTATAGTGGGTGTCCGGTACCATCATGAGGTACGCCTGAAGGACATTCAACAACGAACCATCATGCAGCTGGTGGTCTTCGGGAAAGACCCTTCTGAGATCGCGTTCAATGTTTGCCGCCGCCGGCACACGCTCGCGCTGGGTGAGCTTGTAGTATACGTTCTCGGTGCGCTTTGCTTTACTATCGGTCAGGTGTGCCCAGACGATGTACCGCACGCTCGCTGGCACGCCCTCCCAGAGCAGTTTCCGTACTTTCTTGTTCTTGCGAGCCTGTGCTGCTGGTACACTCGAGATTGCTGAGATCCAGCGTAGTTCGCGTTGACGATGCGCCTCAACGCCCTCCTTACTCTCCTCGCTCTGCTTGCCCCCCTTGCTCTCCGACGTGATCGTGGCCAGCATGTCTGTCCGCGAGGCAGGTGCAGGCGCCGTGCGCGCGCCGATACCTGAGAACATAGAGAACGCAGGGCTCGCTGCACGGAGCGACGATGCCATCTCGGGACGGACAGGGTTCGGCAGCGGAGAAGACGAACGATCTTCCTCAATAACACTGAGCTGTCCTGAGGGCATGACAAGCTCAAAGTCAACATCCTCGATCTGTACGCGAGACCTTTCGGTCTGGTTCTCGCTGGGCGATATGCTCGGCGTAATGCTTGGTGTAATGCTCAGCGTCGGACTGCGGTCCTCTGATCGCATTGAATGCACGGATCTATCGCTGCTCTTTATCTTAAGCGTGGGAAGTGAGAGCTTAGACCGTAATGCCTGCGGCATCGGTGGGCTTAGAGATGGGGAAGGGGAAATGACGGAGCGGATTTCGCTGAGACGCGAGCCTTCACTTTCGACCGACGGCCGGCCTTGCATAGAGGACCGAGACGGGGATGTTTCACGCGCGGCTGACGTTCTGTTAGAATTTGAAAAATTCGACGACCGGCTGGTCCGAAGAATATGCTTTGGACGATACCGCAAGGGCGACGTGGACGCGATCGAGTGATGATCAGATGACCCGGAGACGGAACGCGCAACCACTGCGCTGCTAGTGTCGGCGGTGGGTAAGGGCGAGGACGATGTTGAAGGCGAAAGTACATTAGACGCCTGGCCCAGCGACAGAGGAGACATCACCGGCGATGTTGGAACTGAGACGACCGCAACTGGTGATCGCTGCGCGGGGCTCGCTGGCGACTTGAGCGACATAGAGGAAGAGTACGGAGGCGATATTGTGGGGGCGACAACGTTGTTTTGCGAGAGCGAGAGCGGGGAAGGTTTGTGCGCGAGACGGACTCCCGATACAGAAGAGCTTGTGGGCGGAGGCGGGATGGGCGAGCTGGTAGACGACGCATTAGATGTAGATCGTGATCTCTTCGTCAGCGCATTCAGGGAGACGCTTTGCGAGATAGCGTTGTCATCGGCAATACTAAGCGGCAGCCACATTGAGCGGAACGAAGACTTGCCGACAACTGTATACATTGAACACGTACCTCTGACCTTCGTCCGGGACAATCAGCTTGAGCTGCGCTGAATCAAACCCAGAAAATGATCGTGACCGCGGTCTCAGTTTCTTGGCCTCCGGGAAAAAATTGGCTCTGGGCTGGTCCTTCTCGGGCTCCGTGGAAGGCTCAGCAGGCGTAGGTGGCGCCATGAACCGCATCTTGTGCGCCGGGATGTTGTTGGGCGGCTCGAGCGTGAATGATACTGGTACCGGTCCGACTGAGCTCGCGAGGTCATGCTCGAATTTGGCGTAAATCGTCACTCGACCACGACGGCGCGGGTCAGCCTGCTCGCCAAGTGCGCGATGCATCGTGTCGATGACTGACCCTGGCGACGCACCCGGCATTTGAGGAGATACAAGCGTGCGGCCGTACATGGGTCCGCTGGACCCATTTGGCGAAGACATGGGTTTCGGCGCGTGCGGGTGCGGCGCAAATATGCTGCGCCTGACAAAGTCGTTTTGCGGCAGCTCGAGATTCCGCGGGCGCGCTCCAGGTTGGAGTCTCGCTTGGCTGGCCTGCTGGGGAGGTGGTGAGTGCGGACTTGCCAGTAACGGTTCATCCGCGCTCCCGGACGTCGGCGACATGGGCGTGTACGGCGGCGGCGGCGCTTGGTTGGCGACGATGTAGGTAGTCTTGTTTATACGCTTCTTTTCTGAAAGATATGGTGGACTGCTCGGTTGCGAGCTGGAAGAGGCGGAGCGAGGGGACGTTGGAGAAGCTAAGACAGCAGTTTCAGGAGGTCCTTCATTATCTTGGATCACGATAGGTTGCAAAGAGAGACGAGCGTTGCTTGTGTCAAGCGGCTCAGCGAGGAGAAACGTATTTTCTCCGGGCGATGCTGGTCGTGATCCGCGCTCCTGTTCGAGTATCTGTCTCAGCGCGGACGCTGCGCCACTCTGTACATTCGAGAACAACGTTGTCGTCCCAAAAGGAGACATCGGCGAAAATGTGGCGGACCCCGGCGTTGGAGAAGACATTGGCGAGTTAAATGCGTTGATGAGCGGCGAGGCACTGAGCTCAGACCCCGGTGATGTCGCCTGTTGTGCATGGTGCGACGACTTGAGCTCTAAAGGGGGAGGAACCCGCTTTCCTTCTGGCGTCCCTGGTTCTTTCGGAGACGAAGTCGCCGCGCGTGGGGGGTTCGCAGGTGCCGTCCGTCTGATATCTTCTACAGATGACGACGTAGTCGTAGTGGGGCCAAACCGCTCTCCGCCCAAACTAGAATTCTGTCGCGCACTGTCGACACTCGGTCGCCGACCGTCAAAAGGAACGGGTGGAGGAGCCTCAAGGCCAAATGCAGATGCAACCGTGTACATCGAACCCTTGGAGAGCCTAGACGCCCTAGAAGCCATCGAGTATCGCGAATAGCGATAATTGTCGTAGATATCCGAGGCACCTTCCCATTCTTCCGCGCAATAGTCTGAATCAGTATATGAATTAAATGAAGGGTGTCCCGAGTTGCGCGATAGGACTTCGCGGGGGGAGGGCGGAGCCGAAGAAGGTGAAACGGGGCCTTCCGGAGAAAGTGCATCGTTCGATTGTTTCGCTGAATGACTTGAATAGATAGACGGCTTCCCTGAGGCGGCGAAGGAGCGAATGGAAGGGGTGTGCTTCTTGTCCGCGAGGAGAGGTGAAGCGGGCTGTTCGGCCGGCTCAGGTGTCGAGGCGCCGCTATGCGTCGAGTCAACATCATCTATAACGCCATTGGCAAAGTCTTGCAACAATGAAAGGCCGATCCCTGTCTCGCCGTCTCCATCAGACAGGGCTATAGAAATGCGAGTGCTCGGTTCCTCGTCAAAGACATCGTCGGCACCATAGCGCAGCGCGTCCGAGGGATCTTGCTCGGGCTGGTGTGCAGGGAAATGTCCAGAAGTCGCCGTCTTGTCTACTTCTGCATGAATAGTATCGTCCTCATCTAGTTCGCTTGGCGAGTCTACCTGTCGACTGAGACTCGCGATGCGTGCTAGAGAGTCGGCATCCTGGTGTGAACAGTCTGCAGGAGTGCGAGGCGCAGAGTCAATGGCGGTCGAACTTGAGGAATGACTAGCATGACTCGTCGTCCGGATGTGCAGGCTTTCGTCTCCAGAGGGTATATGAGGCGAGCATGGTGGTAGAAGCGAGTTGGAAGCCAGCAGAGGCGACGATAATACAGACGCACTAGGGCTGCCCGTTGGGGCGTCCAACGAAAGCGTCATGATAGAGTGGCTCTGCGACATCCTGGGGGCGGGAGGAAGCGGTGATTCTCGTGCAGCATTTGCCAAGGATTCGCGACTATGTGGTGGTCCGAAACTCAGCGAAGACGACGGCCTTGAAGATGACCGGGAAAGCGACCTAGATGATCGCTTGGCCATAACGGGCTTCTTCAAGCGGCCTCGGAATCGAACGTCGGAACCACGAAACCGTCCTACGACACCTTCGCAGTATCCCTAGGCGTGTGTACAACAGGTTAGTATATTACAAAAGCACGCTCTGTAGTTCGCACCAGATAGATATCATCTTGGCCTGGAAGCTGCATCAGGACCACAATCTCGTCGTCCTAGCAGGAAGTGTTGAGCACAGAAAAAATTGGGACGTATCTCTGCACGCACCTTGAGGAACATAAGGTCCTCTGCCTCCTCTGCAACACAGTCCTGCACAGCAAAACATTTCCCAATTCCTCCCTTCGCCGCGAAACGCGTCCACCGCCCGAGCTCATTTGCGTCCATTTAATCGAGCGACTTGTTTGGTTTCGTTGTACACAAGTCGTCCAAGCGACAGCAACGGCGACGAAGTCAAGTATTTATACAGTCCAACGTATGTATGTAGGGTATGGTCAAAGGAGTGGAATGGTGTGGTCGTCACCGAGGACAGAGTGAGCTGGTCGTGGTCGAGATCAGGGCCGGAAAGGACAGACGCCCTCGATGGCCGCTGGCATCAGTAGCTGGGCCGTTCTCAGCTCGCTTTCATTGACTCTCGCCGTTCCGCCGTCGGGAAATTTGTTCTACACATGGAATTATTCTGAACAGTCCTCCATTCCAGCAGCCCCAGATTCCATGGGACCCCGGATGTCGCGCATACTTCGTACCCAGCAGCCGGGGAGTGCCCTGCACGGTTTTGACATTCGCCCGGACATCTACATCGCAGACTCCCTCGGAATGTCGCGCTCAATGCACAGTCCTGCGTGCATCATCACCCGGTTACCACTGGCGCCCCTCGCGCCGCCTCTCATTCCATCGTGTGGGCAGCTCGTATGCACGCGTAGCGACTATCAGGCTCGCGCCACACAGAGCGCAGACATCGACGTTGTTTGTCACTTGTTTTCCACCACGCTGCGACCGGCAAAGCCCCAGATCCTTGGAGCTCCTCTTGCAGCTGCTGCAGTGTCGTCTGGGCTTCCACAATCTGTCGTATCCCGGATGGGCCTTGTGCAGCATTGTAAGTCTACACGTACGCACCTCGAGCTTTTGTTTCTCGGATTTGTCCCCGACGTCTTTTATTTGCGTTTCCACACGCTTTCTGGAGACAAAAGCAAAGCACCTCGGCAATTCTGCGCAACGCAAATAGCAGATTTACGCACATATCGCTCATGATGAAGTCTAACCGCTTGTCCACGTTGCTCTTGGCCTCCACCTGGTCCCGCGCAACGGGTACAGGACCCACAAGCTTATATACCGTGCTATTCGCGTCAGCGAAGCGAATTCCTGCAATGCGTGTCAGCTCCGTTTCAGATATACCAGGGAGCTCGCGGTATGCGGCGCACCTTCTTGACTAGCTCGTTCTCCGAGAGCTGGGCGTCGAGCTTCTGACGTGCTTCCACGGCCGTCGCGAGCTCTGGTACTCCGCCGTCGCAGCTTGCAGACGTTCCTGGACTCTCAGCGCTGCTTCAATCGTGGCCATAGGGGAAGTTTAGTTGGGGACAATGATGCAGGTCGGGGCACGCCATGGTCAAAAAGTAGCAGGATCAAACGAAGGAAGCGCCCGCATAGACCAGTCGAGACCCGGAAGACCCCCGCGAAAGGACGCGCCTTAAGCTTACGCGGGCATTGGATTCCGCACGACAAGCTTGCTTGAGGTGCTCGCGATGTCGACGTCTGCACCAAGTACGGTAATTCCCGCCACGTACAGCATTGTGCGATGTGTTGTGCGCGCTGAGCGAAACAGATTTGTTGATGTTGACTGTTTCTGTGCTCATGCACCTGCCCGTAGGTCACTTTGCGACTACTGTAGCGGAGTGAACGGTACAAACCGGTCAGGGAGACGTGACAATTAACTTGCCCTCCATGCTACAAACCGGCCTGGGGTTATGCGTGACATGTTAGTTTGTGGGGAAAGATATCGGCTAATTAGGTGCTTCTGACAATCCTATCTGCGACTACAGCCCTTGCTGAAGGCTTGAAAGTAATTAAAAGGCCAGAGAAATAGCCATACTGCCTATAAAAACCAGCTTGTGCTCCCTTCAGGCCCTCGAAAAGCCATGAAGCGTGACAAGAAGACCGGAATTACAAACCGGTGATGGGGTGCGTTATGCGTTACGGTTTGTACCATTCGCTCCGCTACAGTAGGCATGGCCTCGCACTGGCTTCACTTGCTCCGCGGGATAGCAGGTGCAAGGACGAGAATGAATCACTCAGTGTGTGACAACTGAGCATCCTTGGCACACAAATGACTTCACAGCTACCCTCTCGTCTTTTCAATTAGTCGGTTATCTGTTGTTATCTTGCGGAGGCACGATATGCGGTATCGGAGGACCCAAAGACTCCTAAAGACTCCTAGGTAGACCTGAGGTACCCCATATCCGGATGAGCGACTCTAGCTTTGGGTATATACGTATTGGCCACAAGCGCGGTCGCGTATTCGGACGGTGGGGCCAGTCGGACCATTTCAGGTCTAAGTGTCCGACTTTTGACGCAGCCTCCGGGGGAATTTACCCAAATAACCGCCCTATATAATATAGGCAATATTCGGAAGCCCAGGATCCAATTGTCATGTGCTTGCCGTGTATGCAACTTGATACACAAATTTTCGCAGGATCCCACACGAGAGCGGACGTACTAGTACTGTGAAAGCAATATCATCCTCCTGCATCAGGAGCTAATATCTTGATTTCATAATGTTTAAACATAATAGAACGTAGAATTTTGATAATTTTTCGGGTGTCAAGCCAAGGGAGAGCGGTCTCACTATCCCGCAATCTCATCGAGGATTCAGGCATTCCGGCGAAGCGCTACCATTGTGGCGCCTGGGATCACCGGTAGACCCTAACCCTAAATCACTTAAGCCTAACCCATCCCTTCACGTGATATACCGCGTCCGCGAGAGGCGCGGGTGTACTCGTTTACGACGACGACCTTTTCGTGTTGCTGCTACTATGAGCGCCGACAGCGAGCGAATATTTGAGGGTATCAATGCCTATATCTCGACTGCACTCCCTGAACTTTACCGTACGAAGCTCATGTCCCTCATCTCGACCAAGCACGGTCATCTCGTCAACTTCAGCGACAGCTCCCTCACGCACTATGTGACAGATATCCTGCCACCGTCCGACTCTCTCGATTACGTCGAACCGCGTACAGGATTGCATTTTGTTACACCCTTCTGGGTACAGCGTATTTGCACGCTCGGCACGCGCCAGGAGCCCGCGTTCTACTCCCCGCATCCGACAATGCTCTTCTCGGGCGTTGTTGCCACGTCCTGCGACCTGTCCCAAGCAGACAACGAAATTATGGCTGCTGGAATCTCTTCCCTTGGCGGCCAGTGGCGCAAGGCGATCACTCGTGATATCACCCATGTCTTTGCCCTCAGCAGCGGCACGATCAAATTCCAGACCGCGATGCACTTCAAGGACACGGCAAACATGAAGGTTGTCGTTCCACATTGGTTCGATGACACTGTGCGTCTTGGTATCCGCAACCTGCCCACTGAGCCCTACGAATGGCCGCGTCCACGCGTCTTTGAAGGACAAGCAGCACAAACGCTCCGGCAGCTCGCGTCGTCCCCGGTAGAGGCTGAGGAGAACAGCGCCGCTCGGCGCACGCGTCCTCCCTCGGAGCAGAAGAAGGCATTATACGACACAATATTCAACGAGACGAGCGACCTGCCAAGCCAGCGCCCCGCGTCGGCTAGGATTTGGGAGGGACGCAAGGTCATGTTTGGCTCCAACCTCGGCTTTAACTCTTCCCAGCGCGAGGCGCATATAGCGGATGTTCTGCGTGCCGGCGGTGAAGTTGTCGAGTATGATAACCCGGAGGAAGAGCTCGAGAAGGTGGAAGAGGCGGACATTTACATCGCGCAGCACCGTTCTGGATCTGCGTTTGTCAAGGTGCGTAGTGAATAGTCTCATGGAAGATTTAGCTGGACGAACACTGTTGCAGGCATACAGACTTAAGAAACTCATTGGGAACCTCCATTGGTTCTGGTACGTGCGTAGCACCGGAATCTTATCGCGCCCCACCGACCAGTTGTTACATTATCCGATACCTAAGAAGCCTATTAGTGGGTTCTCGCGTCACGTATGCGCCATTCTACTGTCTGGTTGCGCTCTCTGACGGTCTTCTAGGTTATCACCGTAACAAACTATTCTGGAAAAGACCGGGAATACATCAAGAAAATGCTGCTAATCCTTGGCGTCCCATATACTCCTACCATGTCCGGCAACAACACCGCCGTAATCGCAGCGTAGTAAGTACATTGGCATTTTTTACTTTTGCTGGGGCTGATAAGCTACCGCTGCAGCCGTATAGGGGAAAAGGTGAAGAAGGCCGACGACTGGGCGGTGCCAGTTGTCAACCACATCTGGCTAGAAGAGTGTTTCGCGCAATGGCGCGATATCGCACCCACGCTCGACCGATACACGGCCTTCCCACCTGGCGTCGATTTTGGCGAGCTTCTTGCCGAGGACGGCGGGCGGGCTGTGCTTGGCATGGTTGCGGGCATGAGCGGCGGCTTCCGCATTGGCTACGATCAGACCGAGCTCGACAAGATGGAGCGTGAAATTGAAGAAGGGGTAGAGGCAGACGTGGCTCCACCAGCTGTGGACGGTAAGACCAACGAGATGCGCTTGGAGGTCATGGAAACGCCGAAGCGTGGAATCCTCAAAAAGAGTAAAGGTGCGACTGAGCATGCGACCGCGACATCGCGCCGGCTGGCGGCAGACCGCGAGCGCCTCGCTGCCGATCGTGGCGAAGACGGGACTAAGAACGCGAGCACCGATGTGTATGTCGACATGAGTGTTGCGCTGGACGACGACGGACGACTATCAATGTCGGGGTCTGAGCTCGGATTCGGCGACGAGCAGGGCGGGGACGAGAACGAGCCCATGGGTGTCGGTGACTCACGCGGCAGATTGGACACCAAACGACGAGGCGAGACCCAAGCGAGGCCGTCGACGCCTGCACGAGGGCGAGGCAGACCCCCGAGCTTGAAGATGTCGAGGACTTCCGCGCGCACAAGGACTCCGTCGGCGCCGAAGTCGAACGCGAAATCTCCCGTGCAGAGCCATAGGTCACCGAGACAAAATCTAAGGACTAGTGCTATGCCGCTCCCATCGGAAGACGAGGACGAGAACGAAGACGGGAACGACGAGCCCTCTACTCCTGTCCGGTCCCGTCATGCAGAGAAATCGAAGGTCGTGCCCGCGGCGGAGCGCAAAGACCGAGAGCAGTCGAACGACGGCCCGGTGAGAGCCGGCCGCTTGACGTCGCGCAAGGCGGCCATGAAGGGCAGAATGCAGAAGAAGGGTGACAACGACAACGACGACGTCTTCGACGTCGGTTCGAGCGCGCGCAAGGGCACAGTTATCAAGACATATCGCGCCAAGTCGCGTAGTAGGTCGCGGAGCCGCAGCCGGCTACCTATCCGCGACGAAGACGACTATGAGCCGAAGAACAAGGCAGGGCCGAGGGCGATTCTAGGCGACGAAGGGTCGCCGCTAAAGAAGAACCCCGTCAGGACCGCAAAGACCAGCGCGAGGCAGAAGCTTGAGGTCCCTGCCGACTCCAGCACCGAAGATGAGCAGCCAGTGGAGGCAAAGCCCGGAAGTTTACGTCGCGCGTCTGTGAATAGCGAAGACGACGCCATTGCCATCGAGGAGCTGACAGCTTCTCCAATGCGAGTGGGAACACCTCGCCGCCGCGCGTCGGTTGTCCTGCCTACTCTGAAGGAAGTCCTGTCGACATCGCAGCAGAACGTGAACGCATCCCAGCCGCAGGTCGATTTGCCCGAAGAGCCGCCAGCGTTGAAAGGCAAGGAAGTGCCTAAGAATTCCCCCACTAAGCGCGGCCGCCCGCCTTCGTCGCGCTCCGCAAAGCAAGCGGCGACGAAATCCATACCCGCTGCACGCACGCCCAGCCCGCCACCGCCGCCGGTATCCAAGCCGAAGCCTGGTCGACCCTCTGCTACTGCCGCTGCGGTGCAGACTGAGGCAGGCCCCATCCATGCCGAGTTGGTAGTGGCACCCCCTGTGAAGACATACGGACGCCGCTCGGCGGCGACAGAGGCGGCTCGACGGCTGCACGATGAGATTATGCCAGACGCTAACAGCTTCGCGAAGGAGCTCAAATCTGGGCACGTCAGAGGGTACGAGGATCCTGCATCTGCAAAGGGCAAGGGCAGGGAGCGGGAGAAAGATGGGAGTGCGAAAGGGCGGAAGCGTCCGACCTTGGGTGACAATGAGGAAGAAGACGACGAGCGCGACGTCAAGAAGCGCAAGACTGACGCAGGGTCCGTGTCGACGAAAAGCAAGGGTCGGAAGTCTGATATCCCCCTCGAGGAGAATGAGGTCGAGGTCGTCGATGATCCAAAGAGGGGGCGGCCTGCGGCAAAGGCGAAGCCTGAAGCATCTACTAGGTATGCGCATTACATCCTGTTCAGGCAATTAGCACTGACAACGTCGCAGTGCCGACTCTCGCGACAAGGGTGTCGTGATCATGACGACACAGGTCACGCTCACGGAAGACCAGAATAAGGCGCTAATGAAATTAGGTGCCAAGTTCACAGCGAAGCCTCTCGAGTGCACACACCTCGTCGCCCACAAGATCGTCCGCACGGAAAAATTTTTGTGTGCCATGGCAGTCGCACCGCATATCGTCACGGAGAAGTGGGTCGCCGCCTGTGTCAGCAAGAAGTCCATACAACGTGCGTACCTGGTTCATCGCTGACAGACTCGAGCTCAAATTGTGGGTTCAGCGGAGGCCCCATTTGCACTGAAGGACCTTGAAAGCGAGAAGCGGTACGGTTATAGGCTCAATGACGCCCTGATCCGCGCGCGTGCCAATGGACGGAAACTATTCCAGGGCGCAACGTTTTACATGACGCCCAAGATTCCAGTCGATTCTAAGTTGCTGAAGGCCGTTGTAACTGCGGGCGGCGGGCAGGTGTGTTCTTACCGCTGCACCTCTGCCTGTTCCTATGCTAACCCGTCGTTCTAGCTGCTAACGCAATCGCCTACACTGCGGATACTGAAAGGACACGACAACCGATTTGTGGTGTCATGCCCTGCAGACGTATCGATATGGCGGCCGCTTGCCGAGCACGGACATCCGATTTATTCACAAGAACTGATCCTGACGGGCGTGTTGAAGCAGGAGCTCGACTGGGACGAGAAAACACACAAGGTGCCCGGGTCGTTCTGAACATACTGATGCTTCGTGACTTCCTTGCTTAGGTTTTTGTTCTTATTTTGCCATTGCACATTTCATGTACTGTATACCAATACATTATTTCCCCCCGATGTATTCTGACTTCTGAACAGCGAGGCTGGATGGCTGTGCAGGTGCAGCTCTCCCAAGCATCCGAACAGCATAAACAATGTCAGTACAATACTTTTGTCTTGTCCTTGACAGCCATGTTGAAACCAACGTTGAAATCAATGTCAGTTTGCAATGAACTCACGCAGTGCCAATACTGCTGGGGGCGCAAGAAGCTTGGTGTTACTTTTTCATGCTGCTCAGGATGCAAAGTGGAAAATTGTGTGCCAGCCCACTCTGTAGAATGGCCCAGTTTGATCAAGATGTCTTTTCTTCAGAGTACAGAGTGTCAGTGAGAGGTGTGCTCACTAAGACAGACAGACAGACAAATCAAAATATGTCCCAAATTCCATTTTGAGCTTTAAGCATTTTGTTCCCCTTTAAGTGCCTTGGAAGCAGAACGAACTCCTTTCAATGCCCTTTAAAGGCCTTAAAAGCACTTAAAATCCAGCTTTAAGCCACTTTAAGATTATTTTAAGGCCATTTCAAGATTGGCGCCTTTCAAGGTCAATTTGAAATTCAGGAAAATCATTATTTGTCTGTACATGGCCAAATGCAGGCTTAACTTGCGTCCGAGCAGCTTACTATCTGATGACAATGCTCAAATAGTCAAGAACAAGAAGAAGCCACTCCGCATTTTCACGAGCAAACACCACCCAACACTCTGAGTGCGATGTGTGTGCGCTTGACCTGGGTCAGAAGCCACAAAACACAGAGGAAATTTTCCTTTGGGTCAGAGTGCGTCAATGACCGGACTCACAGGTCAAGCATCTTTTGCATGTTGTTGAGGGTGCTAAGGTTGTCGCGTACAACGAGCTCCCTCTTGCACAGGCTGCAGAGATGAAAGGTGTGCTAAGCGAGGCAAATAAGACTCAGGCAGAGAGTATAGATGGAACGCTCTCTGTTATGCTGCACGACATCGCCATCCAGATTTGCAACATTGCTCCTGTGGACTTTGCATGGGAGGCGACTTGTCCAAGGCCAACACCTTACACAGTTTGCGTATGGCACATTTATTGTGTATGACATCATTGGTTTTGCGTCGAGGTGGTGGCAATGGCGGTTGTGACTGCGATGTGGTGCCTGCAGGGTTCAAGCTTCAAGTATGGCAGTCAGAGTGCATATTTATTATAGCCCTCTGTGCTCCAGGGTCTTTGTTGCGCTCCTCCACCCCATGCCAAATTAAGTCTGAGCTTTGGTGCTTAAACCCATACTCTGCTGTCATAAAGTTGGAAGCACGACCGTGAGGTCATGTATGTGTGTAGTTGACAAATAAGCAACACTGGGTAATAAGAGCCTAGCACACATATGTGTGAAAGAGAGTCTGAAAGCATTGCTACCCTATGAAGCCAAGCAATTAAGTTCAGGTGGGCAGTGGCTGAGATCAGAGACTCAGACACTAGTCCTTGTTTATGGCAGCCAGACTCTAGTTCTCATCTGACCCTGCAGTGATTATCCTCCCTGGCTGAGATCAGAGACTCGGACACTAGTCCTCGTTTATGGCAGCTGAAGTCTAGTCCTCATCTGACCCCGCAGCGATTATTCCCTCTCAAGCACTGTCTGTGGCCTTTTCACCTCTCTCTCTGCTCTCCCTTACCATTCAGCTTTTTAACACAGCACATCCTTGTGCACAATGCCTGAGGAACCAGTTCTAAAGGGATTTAAAGCCATTTTAGAATAGCACACTGCTGAAAATGGCAAGGGTGCATGCAAAACTTCCCTTTTTCTCATTATTGCTGTTGAGCATGCAAAACAGGTGTGCTTGTAGTCCACCCTTCAGTATTCCCAGAGTCACACCCCAACTGCGCTGCTGTTTAGCTGCCTGGGTACAGTCATGAGCTTGACATATTTTATCAGCTGGTCCATCTTGCACTCTGGTGCTATCTCAATACACATGATATTCAGAAGTCTGAAGGCCAGTCCTGGGAGTATTTACTGGGATTTTGAGAGATGGAACAAATGGGCAGCATTAGTAGAGGCAAACAGCTGGCCATTTGGGCAGGCCATGTACAATCTCTTTGCCATAGTCAAATTATTTGCTCATAGGCTGTCTAGCACCTTGCCATCATCAACTTGGCACTTGAAGCCAATCTCACATGAATCACCCACAAGCAATTTGAGGAAATTATGGCACAAAGTGTGCCTGGACCATCTGCTAACAATGAAGTTGCAACGCACATATGCAGCTTCATTATTCCCTTGCACTTCAATAATCCTCTTTTCTGTAATGCTGATGTCAACCACCTACTCAATGTTTTCTTGTCAGTTGTGACTGAGGATTGCATCTGGATGGTGACTGACTTTGCGCAGCTTCTCTGCTTTACAATTTTCTCAAAAGCCATGCTTTGGTTCTGATCTTGAGATTGGCTTGCCAGTAAGCAAAATGGCTCTAAATTCAGGCTGTGAATAATGAATATGTGTAGACATATACTGCCATCTGGCAGCAGGACAACAGAAAGTATGGATACGATCTTGTGCACAAGTGAGATCTTGCTCATGGAGTCATGCAGCGATGAATGCTCAGCATGTGCAGCTGCGAAGACTCTTTGGGCTGGAAGCAGCCAATCGTGCAAATTCTTTGCATGATGAGCAAGGTTTTCAATGGCTATGGACAGCACACAGCTAGTGACATCCTATATGAACTGAATATCCATCCTTTCACTCCCACTTAGCAGCTATTTCAAGACCCAAAAATGTGTACACTCTTCATTGATGCCATGCTGGAGTACTCAATGTGCTGGGTCATAAAGTGGTTCAAGCAGTCATGTGCAATCATTTGTAACTCAGACATTCCATTTGCCTACAATGTGGTGAGTGTGTTGTATTACTTCTCTTTTGCTGTTTGAGTCTACTGCCGGTGCGAGACCAAGACTGATATCAAGCTTGTGCATGAGCTCTGGAACAGCAGCATGCTGAATCCTGATCACATAATCAGTGAGTTGTCATCTGACATAAGATGGATTTATATTTTAAAGTAAAGTAGGTGCACCATATGAAGGCCCTTTATTCCAAGTCAAACCCTAAGAAGAAGACCATGTGGCTGTCTGTTTTCAAACTTGAGCTTGGAGAACTCACAGCATATACTGTTATTCAAGCCCTTCCTCTGCCAGAATGGCAGATTGGGAGGTATAAAAAGATGGGCGGTGTAACACTTTTCTAAAGCTATTCTGAGCTCAGCAATGTATTCAGACTCTCTAAGTGCGTGATGTAACCTGTGAAGGCTACAAGATGACTCTGAGTCTTGCAGAGTTTTACGAGAAGGTTATGAACAAGATAAATCCTTGAGTGACAATTCTACCCCTTTTTTGAAGGAGGGTTGATGGTTAAAATGTGGGTTGTGTGGTTAAAAATCTGTAAGCACTGTGAAAAGGGTGAAATACACTCTTGAGAGCACTTTCAGATGTAAATATTGTTAAGTGGCAATGCTCAGTGGCTAACAAGAAAAATATTCAATTGTGCAGTGATGCACAATCAGAAAGAACATGATGCAGACACTCATATAAAACAATACTGTGTGATGAAACAGTATCATGTTAATAACTCAATTGTGCAGCAGTGTGCAATTAGAAAAGACATCATGTTGTAGACACTCATATAGAACAATATTGTTATGATTTCTGAATGTAATGATGAATCATCCTGTTTGGACTGGCACTTTGGAAGCTTTTCAGCATCGTTCCAAAGCTTGGTCTAATGCATTAGGGGTTTAGGGTTGGGGGGAGCCGAGCCGAGCGAAGCGAGGCGAGGTGACGTTGCTGAGGTGAAACTGGAAGGCGAAGGTCCGAGTTCTGTGAGGAACTCCGGAGGCTTTCGTGGTGACACTCATCAGCGCATTCCAGGAAGTACTTATACCTTGCGCCATGGGACCCCGGGGAAGGGGGGCAGTACCATGGACACCGCGTGCCGAAGCCGAAGCCGTCGGACGGGTGCGTAATGGGCATTATGACTATCCGCGTTATGATTGGCCGGCCCTCGGCGAAATTGGCGGATGGAGTCATTCTAACCTTGTAAGAGGCTCGGGCATACTATATGGGGATGGTCAGCAGGACCACTTTGATGCGACTTAAGACCGGTTAGCGCGGTCAAAAGATGACGTATGTATGGGTTTAGGGTTATGAGCTCTGGTAGGGGTCGGTAGGGACCGTTTCGAGCGCCGACCACTGCTCTTGACGCTGGCTCCTACCGCTTGATGCTCGCTTCCAACGCAGTGCGTGGCTGCCAGTGGCAACTGCATGTGTGCAGAGCGGCGGCCAAGTACAGCATAGTGGCTGTGTGGTCAGCATGCTGCAAAGAGCGACCGCCAGTGGCGACTGCATATTTAGTGGGGAAGCAGCAGAGTAGTTGTGGTCAAACCTCGCCAGCGATATGCAGACGCCAGTGGCGACCGCATGTTTGCAGGGAGACATTGAAGTACCTTTGGTCATAACCTTGCAAATTAGTTCAAGGTGTCCAGTGGCGAACATCTATGGGTGAAATTAGTCGAGCAGCATTAGCCAATCTACGATCT